TTTACTCATAGCTAAATAATTCAAACCATCAGAACAATTAAATACAACACATTATACTGCCAAAGCCTTAGCTAAATCTTTAACAGTTTCTGTTTTACCTGTTCCTGCAGGACCCTCTGGTGCACCTCCATATTATAAATGGAATGCTCCCATTAAAGTACGATAACATCTATCTGTTAATGGTGTTATAACCAATCTCATACTATTTCCTAAATATTCATATCCATATAATAAATCAGCATTAATCATCTTAACATTACATTTCATTACTTATTCAGTCCAATAATATCTTAATTATGCCATCCATTAAAAATTATTAATATCATTACAACCAATCTTAACTAATTATCTAATAACATCTCTAGCATGTACATCTAAGACAACTAAAGCACCTAATGTTAGTCTTTCTAAAGGTGATAAATCTTATCTAACTAAATCTACTATATCTCTTAATTCATTTATCAATTATTATAAGAATCCTGCTAATCCTCCATGAGCATTATCCTTATCATTAATTGATGTTTCACTACCCCTTGTCCATCTAATCATATTTACAGCTAAAACAATCTATGCTGGCCATTTTCGAACCCAAGCAACTCTTTTAGTATCAACATCTAAATGAGATGCTTTCATTATTTTTTTTAAAGTATCAATCATAACTGCTTCTATTTCACATAACCATTTTTCAACATTACCTTTTTTATCCCCTTCATTTACATTTATTGCTTTTGAAAAAGGTACTTTCTCTTTTTCTGCTGAAATCATTGCCACTACTTCTTAACCATTTACAAATTCTAATAAGTTTATTGCTTCAAAACATTTGTTTATATGTTTTTACACTGTTTCAGGATCTTTAGTTTATGCCAAAATTTCTAATAACTCTTCATCAGATAAAAAGTAAAATCTTGGAAACGAATTACGCTTTGTTTCTAAATATTCACTAAGTGATTTTTAAATTTAATCTAAAGCTTTATTATCTTAATCAAATTCATTTTTCATTTTATCACTCTCAACTCCATCCCATAAATTTGGTTCTTTACTAAATTATTCCATAACAGTTCTCCAATGTAAATCCACTTTCTAAAATTTTAATGTTTCTTATGGCATTTTCTTTTTTATATCATCTGATGTAAATATTGGTTCTAAATACATCCAACCTCTTTAACATTTAATCCATCCATCCAAAGTATCTTAAATTAATACTATTTTATATTCTAATGCTTATGCCTTATGTAACACAGCCTTTATTTATGGTTATGCTTTTAACATCAATAGAATATTAAATTGATCATCAAAACATTAAACTACTTCTTCAAGAGATTTTAAAACAAAAGTTCCAGTCTTTTTATATGGAATCATTTCAACTTTTTAATCTTTTAATTTTTCTTGAATTAAATTTAGATTCTTTTCAATTTACCATTACTTTTCAGCTCTTCTTGATACTTCCTCTATATCACTTCTATAATTCATTAAACCATGTGATACAAGTGTATCTAATGATAAATCATCATTAGTTTCTTAATCCACAATTCCAACTATCTTCCAAATATCTTTCCACATATTCAATTTAATTTTCATAGCTTCTGTAGTTAATAATTCAATCAACCATAACTTTTCTTTAAATTCATCTATCTAACTTTTCAACTTTCTAGCTACCTCTGCAGCTGTATCATCTCCTGTATCTGAAAATGCTTTTATCAAAACATTTACATTTCTTTAATTTGTTCTTACTTTAGCATCTATTTCAGTGAAATTTAGTTTTAAAAATGATCCTGTACACCAATCACCTTTTTCCATTTCGAATTCTATGAAATAAGTCCATAAATTATAATAAATCGTAAAATTCTTAATTAATTATTCTAATTCATCATATACTGATTCTGGAGATTTAAACAATCTTTCTCTTTCATTAAATGAGTCTACTTTTTCTTTTGCCTTTTACAATCGTTCATTTAATAACATAACTTCTGTTGCATTTTCTTTTGCTTTTGTATAATCATCAAATTTTTATACCGACAAATATAATTCAGCTAATTCTCTTAATTCCCCTTAAAACTTATCCTTTTCATTATCTAAATTCTCTATGAACTTTTATTCTTAAAGATTTGCTTTCCTCTAACCTTCTATTACATGATTCTTTATTTCTGGTGGAAAACTATACAAGTTCCAAAATTCATAAAGATTCTTATCTTCAAATGTATGGTTCATTTCTTCAAAAATTGTTAAATAATCATAAAGACAATCCACTTCTTGTTTTTTCTTAGCTAAATTAACTTCATGTTCAGCAATGTAAGTTTTTAATTCAACTAATTCTGCTTCATTTTTTGGTTATTTTGTTATTCTTTCACTCATATCATTATATTCAACACTAAGACGACTAATGTTATCTGTAACTATTTCAGAGCATTATTTCAAAATAGAAGAAACAAATTCATTTGCCTTTTGAATCAAATTTTCTTTAGCAATTCTAGTTCTTATTTAAAAGAATTATTCATTTTTTTCATCCAAACATAATCTTTATATTTACAATTTAGCATTAATAAAATCATTTAATTTTTTTTAAATTTCATCCTTATCTAAAGCTGTAATAATAGGTTTCTTTTAAATATCTCCAAATAAACTCTTCAATATACTAGAAACTGGTTTTTCTAAAAGAAAACTAAATTCTCTAAAACGTTAAAGCATTTCATTAGGTTTGTGAAATCCTATTTCAATATACTCTAATATTTTGTCTCTTGCCCACTTAACCCATATTTAATCCTTATCTTTATCTATTTCATAAGCTCTTAGTCGACCTTTTTCTTCCTTTTTTTAATCAATATCAACCAAAGGAACAAGATCTTTTTCTAGACGATTAAAAGAATTAACTGATTCTAATAATAAATCTAATGGTTTCAATAGAGCAGCTTAAATAGATTATAAACTAGGAGAATAGTATATAGCATTAATAGGATCTTCATCAACAATAGGGGTGGGTTCATCTAATTTAACTTTTTTTTCATTTTTTTTTCCTTTTTTAAAATTAAGATTGACTTCAAGATTTAGAATCATAAGTGGATAATCATTAATTTTCCAATATTCTCCTTATTTAGGAGTAGTAAATTTCTTTATAAAATCAACCCATGCTTAACAATTTTATTTGACAACATTTTCTCTGATGTAATTAGTAAACATGTAATCAATTCTGATTAGTAATTTTTATAAATCACTATCTAAATAATCTTCAGTTTCAGTTTAATAAAATCTATATTTTTCTCTTAATTTATCTTGAATATCCCCAACTATAGTACTTCTCCATTAAACTTACAAAGTTTATCTACCCTAAACTTAATGTTATTTTTATTGACTTTCAAAATTAGACAATGTCATAGGAAGTGATTAATGATTTAATAAGACATTAAGTAAGGGGAAGTTCTGATACAATTAAGATCTTGCAGTTAAAGCATTGAGAGTATTGACAACAACAGTCAATTTTGAATAATGTAAATTTGAGATTGTTTATCTAACATTGCCAAATGCCCAATTATCTTATGCTTTGTTAAAAGATTTGGATGATTATGCTTATGATTCATAAATAATCATTTTAGTATCACTACCAAATTATTTGCACAATCCATAATATGGTTTTTTGAGTTATTCAAATCTATTTCTAATTCTAAGTTGAATCCATTTAATATCATTTTTATTAATTTCCATATCTTTTAAAATAGAACATTTTTTCATAAGCATAATATATTCTTTCTCCACTTATTTGACAAGATCTTTTTTAAGTAAATCTAAGTTCTATTATTACTTTCTTTTAATTTCAGGATCAGTAATCATGTTTTTGGATTCATCTTTCAAAGTTTAGATTTATGGAAATCCAGGTGCAGTTTTACTTGGATCTTCTTTAGTTAAATAAGGTAAATCTCTAATATGTGTAAAATCATCGATTTTCTTTTACATTTCATGAGATAAAATAGATGTCATTGAATCAGGTAATGATTCTATATATTTAAGAAATCTATATTCATCATCAGCATTTCTTTATCTTTATTTACATAACTCAACTCTTTATTCAAATTTAATAGGATCTTCTGCAAAGAATAATAATGAGAGTCTTCCTATCCATTTAATTTTACCATTTCTTAATACTTTGACTTCATATCGACCATTTTAATAACTAAGAACTTCAACATCAGTCCATATATATTTATCTGATTAATCAAAAAGTGGACTTTTAGCATGAGGTGGATTTGTTTTACTACATAATTCAATCCATTATTCAGGAGTTTTATCTTCATCCCAACAATCATAATCTTTTAATTTTTTATTAGCCATTCTACCACCCTAAGAGAAATTCTTATTTTTTGGAATGTCTTCTGGTTATGAATCATCATCATCTATCATAATTAGTAATGTAAAATTACACATCTAAAATTCTGTAAATTCTTCTCCTAATGTTCCTTTTACTTCTACATCAAAATTTCTACCTGAATTGATGTAATTAGGAATGAAATTAGATCTTTTAGAATTGAATTATGAATCTAAATCTAATTTCAATGTTTAAGATTGTGAATTAAGATTAAGTGAAGATAAATTCTTCATCTAACCAGTTAATAAAGGTACTTAACTTTTCACCTATCTATTAATACGAATGTTTGTCTATTATTATTCTAAATATTAGAATTACCTTTTTCTTCATCCCAAATTATGAACTAGTCAGAGTCCCATCTATCATTTGTAAATTGTCTCTATCATTCAACAGATTCATTACAAGTTTCCTTTAGAATATAAATCTTATTATACCTTGGATCTTAAGTGTCAGTTTCTTATTTAATTCTTTACTCTACTTCTTGATGTTCCTTAGTTGCAGACTAAAAATCAAAAGAAGGTGTGTTAATTTTTTATATTGGGCCTAAATTATTCAATATTATATATAACCTAATGTTCTCTTGCCCTTCGAATGCATTTCTTAAATTTCTAAAATAAAATAATATATTACAGATACACATATTTAAATGAGTTTTTCAGATGAATCAGAAGATGAAGAAGAAATCAAAAAGAGACTTTATGCAGATCTAGATTAAGTTTCAGTCAATGATAATTAGACGGAAAGAAGTTTTATTTTTGAATAACATAATTATGAAATTCATGATTATAAGTAATCTAAAATTTGGTTAGAGTTCATGAATCAAAATAAATAGAGAGAAGAAATGTTAGATAAAATTGAAAATGATATTCAACTTATGAAGTAAATTAATCAAGGAAATTAATGTATTGAAATTGAAGATTATAATGGTGATCACCTTAAAGTAGAACTTAATGATTAATTACCTAATGAAATTATTGCTTAAATCAAAGAATAACCATAACAAAAAATCATTTTACATGATGAAATATTACTATAATAATAACAAACACAAATCTCTGATTTATAGAAATCTTACACTTCATAAATATCTACAAAAAAACCAGAACGAACTTTATCAGCCATTAAACACTCAAAGTCAAATAATAAGTAGAATGTTTAAGATTTAAAATTAGAATTAATGCATTAATAAAGAGAGATTATGTAAATGGAAATTGAAGACAACTATTCAAGAGAATATTAAGATTTCTGGATTAAATAATTATTTAAAAATAGGCTATATAATTTACCTGAAGAATTTCCTGCTTTAAAACCTATCTCATTTTCTATCAAAATACCTGATTTTAATATTCCTGTCTTCAAAACTCCTTCCATCTAAGCACCTTAAATATTAGATTTAGTGGAAGATAATCTTGCTCCAAGTAATACTAAAGAATTGGTTTTTGCAAGATTACAAAATATTAAATTTTAAAAACTTAAATATATTGAAACATAATTAGAGATTAAATAAAACAAAGAAACCTAACCAGTACAATAAATTGACTCTGAACTCAAATATAATATTGTATATTAAGATTACTTAAAAAATCAATAGTAATTAGTCTTGAGTGATAGTATTGAAGATATTTATTGGAAGAAAGTTAATAATCTACATTAGGATTTAATTAATATGTATTCTAATTTCATTAATATAGGATTAATAAATTGATTCAGAAGTATCCCAAGTATAATCCTTATCGATCTCCTTTTACTGAATATGATTAGCCTAAAACCAATTTAGATAATATTATTATTACAGATGATACTTCTAACTTAAACTTAAACTTATTTCAATAATATGTTCAAAATAATTAGGTGTCTAAATTTACAAGAAAATTAGAAATTAAACTTGAGAATCTCACTACACTTGATGGAATTTAAGAAATGAAAGACATAAGAAAAGCTATCTTATCATGTAATCAAATTAATGATCTTACTCCACTTTCTACTTTAAATAATTTAATCGAAGTGGATCTTTAATAAAACAATATTTAGACTTATCATCAATTGGGTAAATTGAATAATTTAAGAATATTACGTCTCGAAATGAATCACATATAAGAAATGAGCAAACTTATTAATTGTGTATTCCTAGAAGTTTATTCTTTAAAAGGCAATAAAATTTAATCAATTACTAATTTAGAAAATTTGGAATTCTTGAAACATCTATATCTCTATAAAAATTAATTAAAAAGTATTGGGAATATATCAAAATGTGTAATTTTAGAGATGCTTGATTTAAGTTCAAATCAAATTGAAATTGGATTGAATGAGAATCCTTTCAAAAATAATCAATGCTTACGTAAATTAATCCTCACAAAAAACAAATTATAACACTTGCCTGAAATGAGATTACTTATGCTGAATGAATTATATCTAAATAAGAATAAACTTGAATCACTTGATGGAATTGTTTACTTACCCTCTTTACAAGTATTCTATTATTTTATAAGATTTTATAAGTTTAAGATAATTAATTATAGACTTGTTACGATACTGAATATTAGATCTCTTACATTCCTAATATTTAGTAAATAGATTTATCGGGTAATAGAATTCAATCCTTCGGGACCATAATAAACTTTATCCAAAGATGCAATGAGTTAAAACAAATAAATTATCTTGAAAATCCATTTTTGCTTGGTTTATCTGAAGTATTAATATTCAATTATGATAGGAAGTACTTCAATTATATCGATATATGTTAATTATTAATTGTTCATAGTTAATTGAAGTAAATCAAGCATTGTTAAATAAGAAGGATTAAGAATTCTTAAAGGATAAATTTTATGGTTTTCTAGAGCCTCCATAAAGAAAATCATAATAATTAGAATTGGAAAGAAGTTTTAATAAGTTGATCAATCAATTAAACAACAATACTTAAATAATGCATAAGATAAATGGATTAGAATAAAGAAAAATAACTAAAATTCATCCTTTTACATACACAGAGAGATTTAAAATCATACAAATATTAAACGATTTAACATTTATAAAGAATAACTTTTAAATCAATATTGATGTTGACAAAGAAATATCTGATTTTAATTAAAAATATCAGAAATCCCTTTATAAAGTATAGACTTTATTAATAAGATGGATTTATAGATTTAAAAAGAGATAAAAGTTTTACAAATCTAAATTAAAATAATTGATAATTGTATAATCTCTTATTAGAGGTTATTTGGCTAGAAAATTGCCATAAATAAAACTATTGAGATAAAAATATAATAAAAAAAGATTAAATATTTTTGCTTTGAAAATTTAAAAGGTTTGGAGAGGGTACATAATAAGAAAAAGATTAAGAGATAGGATGAAAAATATCAAATTTGAAGATAGTGAATTGGATGATTTAGGTGAAATTGATGATGATTTTTTAAAACAAGATATTGATCTTAATTTTGACCTAAGAATACCTTAAGGATTAGACTTATAATAAATTTTTAAATAGAGTTAAAATTAGTAGTAATTATTACAGTAATAGATCACTCAATAAGCATAATAAAAAGTTTAGTAAACCTTATAACAATAAATCCCAATGAAATAATCATCATCAAGCACAAAAAAACCAAGTAATAATACTGAAACTCAGATGAGAACGTCTCATTTATCAGGAACTTAATCATAATCTTAAATGGGATAAAGTAAATATAGTGAAAAAACAGCTAAGACAGATACATTACCAACAATAGGGGAGCATACTAAAGTAATTAATGACAATATATAATTTGTTAGAAAATAATGTAAAATTGGAACTTTAAAGATCCTGCTGTGGCCTATACTATTGCATGTAAATTATAAAAGGAACAAAAAAGAAAGAATAAAGCTAAAGAATTAACTGCGTAGGAGAGATTAGAGAGATTTAAGAAACATTGAAATTATTTTTATTTTGCTTATTAAATGGGAACATCTGCTCCATCCTAGATGAATTCTACTTCTTTCTTCAAAACTTTTAAGACATAGTTTAGACCAATAGAGATAAAGGGAGAGAAAATAGATGGATAAGTTTATGTTTGTGATGCAAATTAAGAGATGATTATTGAATATCCAAATCGAATTATTGATTAGGAATCAGATGAGCTATGGCATTAATCTTAATCTATGATTTAACGCATTTAAGCCCCTTACATTATTAATTATTATGGAAGCACAGAAAAAAAATCATAAGAAATGTGTTCATCTTATTCAATGATTTTCAGTTATTATGAGTATATTTCACATACTTTATAAAAGTATTACATTATTTTTAAGATAGAGAAATCTATGAAAGAAAAGAAAATCGAGAATAATTTTCAGAAAAAGAAATTTGGTATTTGTTATGGTCTTTGGCTCAAGCACTTTATGAACTAAAACAAAAAGGTTATAATCATAAAGATTTAAGACCAACTACAATTGCACTCAAATCAAATGGTATAATAAAGCTTTGTCCTATTGGAGTTTTGTAAGATCAAAAAAACTCAGTTGCTAGGTTTGTTGTTGAAAACTTATAAACTTATTTACCTCCTACATTAAAAAAATCACTTATTAACTAATCATAATCATAGATAAATTGGAATAAAATTGATTCATTCGCTTTAGGACACATAATACTTGATCTAATGATACTTGATGTACCCGTTTTGATTGATAATTAATAAATTATAGAATTGTAGATGTAATGTTATAATCGCTTTTCATAACATTTAATTAGAATTATGGAACATCTTATGTTAGAAACTGATAATTAACTTTTGATTGAGGATGTTTATTTTTTATTGAAACCTTATTCAGAAAAAATTAATCATTTATAAGAATTTTAAATTAATTTTGAAGATGTAAAGAAATTAGCAATCCCATTAAATAACATATCTAAACTAAAGTTAAAATAAATAATTGAAAACTCAAAACATTCTGAAATTTTGTATGAATCCTAATAAATTCACAATAATTCTTATTAATAATAAATTAAAGTGAATAATCAATAAAATTAATAATTATAATAATAATAAATGATAATGGAATAATAAAAGTAATATTTGATAATCTAATAATAAAAATCATAATAGATATAATAATAAGATTAATTATAATATCAATAAAATTTTATTTTACAACCAAACTAAAATTAACAATAATAAACTTCTTAGGTTTTGAATTAATAAATTTAATAATAATTATAATAACCCAATATTCTTCAATAGACCAATGGATTAATTTAACAACCCATAATAAATTAATAAATTATTCAATAACCATATCAATAATAATAATAATAGTAAAATATAATATAATAATAACCGTAAAATTTACTATAATAATAATAAATTACTCCTTAACAACATGTAATAATATAAAGACCTCCTTAATAATAATAATAGCTAATACCAAGTCCAGATTTAAGAAAATCTGTGTCTCCTTAGCCTTAATAATTTGTGAATTAATAACCACAACTATTACAACGGTTATTAATGTAATCTTAATAGATACCATAGCAACAATAAATTAAACCTTAAATAAAATAATTATAATCATAGCCTGTATCTATTCCCATATCTCCAATTAATCCAATTAAAATAACATAATAATATAATTAGCCATAAATTGCACCACCACCTCCTCCTACTTAGCCATAATAAAATATTTATGTAGCCCCACCATCTTTGTAATAAGCTCCATTTCAACAACCTTTAATTTAGTAACCTGCACCTGTGCAAATACCAATGATTTATTAGAATAGACCTCCTCTTACAAATAATTACAATTAATCACTACCGAATCAAAATATTCCAGTGTAATTAATATAAACTCCTGTGGTATATGTATTATGATTCTAAATTTAAGAATGACTAATTTCAGAGAGATGCTACAGCTTTAGAGTATAAACCTTAAGTAAATCAGCCATTGAAAGCTTCCAATTAAGTGCTGTAACCAAAATAAAAATATTCTTCACCATAGCCAAGATAAGTAAAATGATTTCTTTAAATGTTAGTCTAACAATTTTGATAGAATTCGAAATGTCATTTAAGATTCAGATTAGTTGTTGCAATAATAACATAAATGAATAAACTTAACATTATATTTATTAAGTAGATATAGACAAATTATAATTCAAAATATTAATTAAAAATTTAATTTTCTTTATAAAAATGATGAATTCTTTATCGTTTTTGAAAGTGTGTTGAAGTTAGATAATGTATTTATTGTTCCAAATTTATAGAATATTGATACATTATTGATAATACATGTAAATGATGTGTATAAATAATATTAAATATTGGATTTGAAAAATAAAAATATGAGTAATTCTTGAAATGTAATGCAAGCATATAAATATCAATCACATTTTAATAAAGAACTTCTCGTTTAGATGTATTTAAAGAGAAATTTATCTTCAAATAAGATTAACTATTGTATTAACTCCAAATCTTAATTTGTTCGACTTAATAAAGTGAAGAACTCGTCTAGATTTTAAGCATTTCTTCCAAATTTTCTACGGAATTATTTGTAGATTTCATTTATCTTTTACATATTTTCATTAGAAGTAGAATTCCAAATCTTATAATGAGATAAATTGGATTTTTTAAATTCAATCTATTTTCTGTTTAAAAGTGTGGGAGGGAGGACAGCTTGATGCATTTTACCAATAGGAACATCATCTTTTTGAGCCTTAAGCATGTTATTAACATCAGGAGGTAAAGAAGACTTTTAAGCTGGCGAGTTATTATCACTCATTTATGTGATATCGCTTGATTGTGACATGATATAAATGAATAATTATATATTAATTTAATTATTGAATTAATAATGATAAAATGAATAGATAAGATTAGATAAATTTGTATATATATATCTATATTATATAATTCATTTGTAAAAATTAAACTCTTTCTCAGTTTTCCTAACTACAATTTTGTAGGCTTTATCAAAGTCCTTTTGTATGACAACATACCTATTCTTTCTAACAGCCTACATTCCAGCTTCTTAACAGATGGCAGCAATGTCAGCATTACTTATCTTATCAGGTCTATTAATGAAAGCTTCTAAATCAACTTCTTCTGATAAATTCATTTTTGATGTTACAGTTTAGAATATCAATCGTTTTTATCTTCTATCAGGAAGTGGGAATTCTATTTTTCTATCAAGACGTCTAAAAGTGATAGCTAAATTAAACTTACCCAGGTCTTAGAAGTGCAGGATCAAGAGTATCAGGTCTATTAGTAGCCATAATCACTTTAACGTTGGTTGATTAATCAAAACCATCCATTTGATTGAGTAATTCAATAAGAATTCTCTAGACTTCTCTATCAGCTCCTGTTTAAGCATCAAAACGTCTAAAGTAAAAATAATTAATTAAAATACTTTGTTGCAATAGAATCAACTTCATCAATAAATATTATGCTAGGTGCATTTTCTCTAGCTAATCTAAATACATCTCTAACCATTCTAGGTCCTTCTCCTAAATATTTCTAAACAAACTCTGATCCTACAACTCTAATAAATGATGCAGTTGTATGATGTGCCACTGCTTTTGCTATCATTGTCTTTCCAGTACCAGGAGGACCATATAACAGAACACCTCTTGGTGGATCAATACCTATTTATCTATATAATTCAGGATAAGACAATGGTAATTCAATTGCTTCTTTTATTTCCTATTTCTATTAATCTAAACCACCTATGTCTTGATAGCTCACATCAGGTTTTTCTGTTTTTATTTAGATGAAGTACCTGTTACATGCATCATTTGAATTGAAGAATCTGTCTCAGTTGGCAAAATATCAACTACACTATGTGAATGTCTATGTAATGCTATTGATGTATTTGGTTTTAATTTCTCTCTATCTAATGTACTTAAGACTCTAACATAAAGAGTTGCTCCACCATTAGAATTTATCAAAGCATAATTCTCATTCATCATTTCATTAAAATGGCTAAATAAGATTATTTTCTAATATTTACCCGACTGTCAAGGGGACTGCTTAAATTCTTTTTAATTCTTCTCTACTCCTTACTAATTCTCTTTTTAATCTTTTTTAATCATCTTTCAAATATTATTCTTAAATGTCTAAATATTCCAATTCTTATTCTCTCTATTTCAATAATTTAAAGAGTTCAAGTTCTTCTTATGTCATATTCTAGGTTTCCACTTCCATTTAATTTCAAAATTATTTAATTAATCATACTGGTGACACAATTTGCCATCCATATAAAGAAAAATAAAAAAAAATAAAATATGTTTATATATGGACTTCGTGTGGATGCTTTTTCAGTTTTTCTCCTGGTCTATTTTTTACTGCAGCGAATGATGGAAAGATGTAGCTTCCTGATATATGTAGAAAATTTTAATTCAACTTCAAGTTTTTTGCGAGTCTCCTATAACAATTCTTCGGTTTATTTCTTCTAGGACTCTAACTATTATTTTAATTGGCGTTTTCTTTCCACTTCAATTTCTAAGTCTTATTCCAACAATCTATATGAATGAGGCAAATCTCTTAAGCCTTTTAGATTTTCAGATTGGATGTATTTAGTATAAGCGTGATGCACTTCAACACCACTTTCTTAATACTTATGCAATACAACTAAACTATATGTATTTTCAATACCCAATTTTTCACGATCAACCTATTGATTGTACTTTTCATCCTCCAATTATCTAATTGCTTCTGCCTTAAGCTCGATTAAACGCTGCATTGATAATAATGAGTCCCTAAGGAGAGGATCAATGAAACATATTTTTTAATTGTAATCTAAATGATATTTTTCATATTTACTTCTTCTTTTTAAATCCCAAACTTTCTATTATAATGTTTTAAAAAATAATTTCAGATCTTTCAACTCCTAGGTCTTTTGATCCTCAATTATTTGCAGTTCGTATTTCAAACCCTACATTCATCATAATTTCTCTTACATTTAGTGTGTCTAAATTATTCTTGTTCTTTATCATGAATAATTTTATATAAATTATATATATATATATTATTATTATCATTTCACTATTAATTAATATTTCTTCTTTTATTGAATTATTATATAGGATTCTCTTACAATAAATCTAATTCCTTCTATTTTGAAAAACCATTCATTTATTATTATCTCAAATAACTAAAATTCAAATATGGTGTTGTCGAAATTTATTATGTGAATGCTTAATTGGATATTGCTCCCATTTATTCTTCATTCTATTAAACAAATTGATCATTGCTCCAAAATGGAGATGGCATCATTGATCCAATTAAAAATGGAGATGTAGAATTAACCTTATAAATATTTGTAATTTTTGGTAGTTATAAAGATGAATTTTAAGGACATTCCCCTTCCTCTACAATTCCAGGAGACAATTATCTTAAACATTGATTCTCAAAATATTAATATCCTGGAGATGTTAAACATTATAACATCATCAATGGAGTTGCATTTTTCATGTCTTCCTAATTAAAAGTTGATTATAAATTTAATGCCAATTTCATTTCTTCAGAATTAAAATTCATTTATTATTGTAACTACTACAATTATTGTAATTATTAAGTTTATATTTGTTGTTACAATTATAATTATTATGATTATTATTATGTATATAATTATTATTATGCTTATTATACCAAAGACTACTAGGATTATTATTCTTCCTATTTTATTATTTTTGGAATATTTTTTTATTTCTTAAATTCAGATTTTTAATCTTTATTTCTCATTCCCTTCTTATGTCTCCCTCTTTTACCAATAATACCTTATTTATTAGAGTCCATATGTACTGAACTATTTATTAAATTAAATAATTACTTTTTTCTAATATATTATTTGATCATCTCTATTTCATCGCATTCATCATCTTTGCATATCTTATGTATTAATGACTTATATCTTATATAAACTTATTATGAAATTACCTATTCTTTACTTAATTCTCAGTTCTTCCATTCAACTATTATGAAATCTACGACCATTTTTTTCCATTTTTTACAACATTATTTAATATTATCAAATCCTCTTTAATCAACCATTGTTCCCTTAAAATATCAACAATAAATTACTTATTTAATTCAGGATTTAAATAATTCATCCATCTTTCTCTAATTTATTTTGGTGTTCGAATGTTACCTTACATATTCCTTTCATAAAGAGATACTGCAATTTATGTCCAAATATGCTTATTCTTCTAACTATAATCAACTAAGTTATTTCAACTTACTTCATTTAATTCTTTATAAAATCATCTTCTTCCTATAACCAATTAATTGATTTCATCTAAGGATTTATTAGTGTAATCCACCTTTACTTTAAAGCATGCTTATCTATTTTTAAAATTATTTCAAAATTAATCCAATCATTCTCATCCTAACATATTATTCTTAAAAATACTACAGGTCGTATTGTAATTTGATTTTGCTTCTCAAAATATTTAACTAAAAACCATATTAAAAATAGTTTAAAAGAATTATCCCATTTTCTTTTACTTCTCAATTTTTCATCTTCCAAAAAACTAACTTTAAGAACTACACAAAACCTTTTACAAATTTGATCAAACTTCTTACTATGTGGATAGATGAACTCTCCTCTAATCTTAAATTACTTTCGGTATTCTTCAGATATAGGAGTTGTTTGCTTCTCACTTAAACTCTAAAAGAACTTCTGAAATTCATCCATTTTTAATTATAATTATAAGATTGAGAAATTTTATATTAATTTAAGCAAACCTGATCAAAATGATTTTAATAAAAAAATTAACAGAACACTTCTTATTTATCATTTTATGATAATTGTAATAGTTATGGTTTTGTTTAATTCATTATTAATTAAAATAAATGCAATAATTTTCTGACTAAACATAGAAATTTATTTCTGATTAAACTCCCATTTAGCAATCTAATTGTTATATTTACTAATCAAATAAATAAGACCACTAATAATTTTAGTTTCTAGATAATATAATGAAATTACCAACCCAAAATTTATTTGAACTTTTAATTCCTAAAACAAATGAATCTCAACAAGTTTAATCTTAAAACTAAATCAAAGAAATGGTTAATTAAATGTTAATTTCAATTTCTAATAACGAAGAAATTTTGGGAATTTCGAAATAAAATGAAGAAGAAGAACTTTTTGATGAATTAGCAGAAGATCTAGAATAGAGAGAAATTTAATATTAACTATTTTTAAATGCTCTTAATAAGAACTGTATTTTATATTAGGAGAATTATCAAACTTAAATCGTTCTTATGTTAATATAGAATTAATTAAAGAATTATCCAAATAAAAAAGTAGCTGTTTTAGCCACAACGATTCCTAAAGCAGATGCTCTAGCTAAATATATTAAAAATACGTTACCTATATTAGTTGAAACATATATAGATGACGATGTAATTTTAGCAAAAGTACAATAGTGTAGCAACTCTTTAAAAATTATACATCCTAATAAATGTACAGATTTGTGGAATAATTTAATTTGGTAGATGATTTTATAATAAAATAATATTTATGTAATGACAGCAGAAACATTTTTGATTACATTAAGAAGAGGATACTAGAAATTTACTGATTTTAGTTTGATTTTTTTGGATGATTGTCAAGCAACAAATTTTGAAACTCCTTATAACCATCTCTTCAAAGAATTTTACTTTCCTCTCAAATCATCCAATTAAATGCCATAAATTGTTGGAGTATTTAATTCTTAGTATACAAATAATAAATTCATAAATGATGAATCAATTTTAAAAGAACTTATATAATTATGTGCATATATGGATGCTCGTTTTTTAAATATCAACACTGAGGCTATTAAATAAAAAATAAAAGAAACAACAATAATTCTTACATATTACAAATCATATCTTAATGACTATAAATTTCAGAAGAAATTAGAAAGTAATATATAAAACAAAACATTTGATTCTATACTTTTTGATAATTTAATGAAAAATAATTGCCTTATTGAAATAAATGAATTAAAAATAATTCTTAAAACACTTAAAACTAAATATCAGAATTGTTTTTCATTTAAAATTATGATATATTATTTTGAATAAATCTTAATACAAAAACCTTTAAATTTATATTTAGAACTTGGATAACACTCATTTTGTATTGAATATTTTTTATTTTATAGGTTTAATACTAAATTTTATAATTGAAAAATTAAAAAAATTTATCAGCACAAGGTAACCAGAACCTTTTTATCAAGAATTATAAATTGCTTTAGAAAAATCTCTAACTTAAACTATATAAACAAATAATTAAATTACTCCTAAATTCGAACATTTATAAGAACTACTTTAATAAACTTATAAAAATTCTTAAGCTCAAAACAATCGAACTTTAATTTTTATAAAATAATAATATATGGTCTATTTATTCCTTAGATTAATGGAAGACAAGTAAAAATTCTCAACATAAGGTAGCCTTTATTTATTATGTAGATTTAAAAATTGGAATAGTTTAAAAAGTAAAAAATGATTTAGATTAAAAGAATGCTTAAAATGACATTTAAAGATTTCTTAAAGAAATTTATTAAGATCTAAAATAAGATTAATTTAAGTTTTCAGTTCAGGAATTGAAAGATTAATTAATATAATTAAATGATTTCTTTAATTTAGATTAATTAACAACTCAATCTACTAATGAGGATTAATTAAATTAATGTTAAATTGTAATCTCATGTTAGATAGATGAAAAAACTGCATTAAATTTTCAAAAAATAATTTTTTTTAATTCAGCACCTCATTGCAATTACAATTCTCTTATGAGTCAAATGAAGAATATAAATAGTTAAATTATTCTCATGAAGGCTGAGAAGAAAGAGTAAAGATAAAATTTTTAACAAAACTTTATAAATCTTTAAAAAGTCGAAAAAATTATTAATGAATGCTCATTACCTTATAGAGAAATTATATTACAAAAGGCTATTGATAATTTATGTATTTAATTTTTGATATAAAGAAAGCAAGGCTTTACAAAATATGTATTATGAAAGTTATACCATACAATCAAGCAGCGCTTTATTAAATACAAATTGGTCTTGTAATTTGATTGAATATTTTTCACAGTAGATGAATTTAGAAAAGAAAGGAAAAACAATATCAAAATATGCTGTTTATCAATTAAAAAATGTTAATTAAAAATAAAACGATTAATATATTGCCTTTTTACTTCTTCCAAGTTAAGTTTAAAATTTTATTTTTTATGGAAAGTAAACTAATGGGTTGAAAGAGGCAAGGGCATCAGTTGCTTTTCAGGCTGTTCTTTAATTGTTTTAATAAGGTTATTTTGATTGTCATTTAAGATCTTAAATATAGATTCATCAAGGTTAAAGAATTGGAATAAATTAAGAGGATCCTACAGTTGTTATGGTAATTAAACTTTATATATTATAGACATAAGAACAATTATATATCTAGTCATAATATTGTATAACTGTTAATGAAAAAAATGTATCTCTTTTATCAGGCATTATTAAATCAAATCAATATTATTTTACATTTTAAAAGTCTTTGCTTTTAGTTGACTAATAAGAAATCAATTTTACTATGTAGTTATGCAAATTTTAGAATGAAAAAATATTATTATTATACCCTAAACAATTTAAAAGCAAATTAGAATAATGTTAGATTCTACTTTAGATGCTTGATATACATTTAGGCGATGAATAAATAATTTCTTAAGAAGACTATTAAGATTATTATAAAAATTATATAGATTCAATAATACTTGAGGAGGAATTAATACAAGTGGAAGAAAACATTTTTTCTAGAATGGGCTAAGGTAAACTTTTATCCTATATTAAGAATTGAAATTTGAATTAAAAAAAGACACTGAATAAAATGGCTTAATTATAATAAATAATAGTAAAAAATTTACAACAAATTTTATAATAAATTAATTTATTTTAGTCTTAAAAGCAAGCTTATTTAAAAGCAATATATAAATTTAATAAATCATATAGACGAATGAAAAGGAAGGTAATGGACTCAATACATTATCTAATTGTATTTTAAGCAATTTAAATTAATATTTCAATTTGATTAATCCTATAGTATTAAACATAAAGGGATATATTTAAGAATCTCAACAATTTAAAAATACCTTAAGATAAGGGATAAAAAAATAAAATGGAATATTGAAGGATAAATTAGACGAAATAATTTTAGATTCTTTAAATTTATAGGCTTATAAATTAGAAAATTTACTGTTAGGAGAATGTTACTATAAATTTTTGATAACAATCTAATTATTATAAAATTATGCAAAATTAGATTTTAAAATTTTAGAACAAAAAATAAAATATTTTACTAGTAGCACATATATTAGAAACTGTTTATTAGAATCATATTTATTTTTATTTTTACATAAACGGGATTTAGTTGATATATCAAAGAGATTGATTGGGTTTGAAAGGATGGAGAGCAATTTAGATTTGTTATTAGTTTAATCTGATATATTGGATTTAGATTAAAAATAATATGAGATTAAGGGGCTGTAAAATACAAACAATTTTTCTATTTTAGATTTTAAATAATTCTTATATTAATCTTTATCAATGATAGAATTGGATGATTATTAATAGAAGAATGGTTTTGATTGGATTAGAACTATGAAGTTAACAAAAATATTAGAGCAACAAATAGGATCACCTTAAGAATTATAATTTTTAATTCCTAATCAGATATAGAATAATGAAAAATTAAAATAGCTAAAATAAAGTTATAATAAATTTGAAAATATCATATAATATAAATTTAATAGTTTCGAATTGTTATTTTAAGCAATGACTGATGTTAGTTTTAGGGTGTTAATTAATAATGAAATTTAGAAATAATATATGTAGAAATTCTCAACAAGAGATGAGTTTTAAGGATAGATATCATAAGAAGAATTGTAGGAGTAAAAAAATTAGATAGATTAAATGAACAGTATAGAATAAAGTAGCTATTAAAACTCTAATTTAACAATTCTTGGTAAATCATTATGGAATTATGTATTAATGAAAATATTAAGTGAGAAAAACTTAGGTATAATATATTTAATATATAAATAGAAAGTTTATAATTTGTAACATTAAGTAAAATTTTAAAAGGGGTATCATTTTAATCTTATGCAGCAATAAAATTACGAATTCATGAATATTTAAATAGCAATAATTAGAAATAATTGTAAGATTTTGTAGAATTAAATTAAAAAAGCAAAGATTAATCAATAACATTCCATGTTAGTTCATTAGTTTATAATGAGAATTCTGGAATATTAAGAAATGCATTTTTAGCATTGATTGGAGCAATATATATTGATAGTAAATTTGACTTATTAGTAATTATTGGTTGGATTGACAATTTATTTAATTAGATAGGTGTGGAATAATTATTGAATATAGAATTTATATAAAGTAGACCAAGATATAGATTTTATGAGTGGTAAAAATGGATATAAATATAGGTACAAAAAAAAGTTTGGGAATCCTTAAAATTTTGATTTATTAAAGATTCGTCATTAAGATTAAAAGAAAGCAAATTAAGGTGTATAATTATATATACCTTTTGATTATAAGGAAGGTTCAATTGTGAATATAAAAGGGGATAAGTTTTATGGGGTTGGATAGTTACATATTTTTGCAAAATGTAAAAATGAAGCTTGGGATAGATTGTAAGAATTAATTGAAAATTGATTAAAAAATATTAAATAATAATAATATATATATATATAAAATGAAACAACCATCTGCAGATATTTTAGAGATGGAACATGCAATCGGATATAGTGGAAGAGTAATATTGAATATAAATATAAGATACATCGAAGTGTGATTTTACATCCAAATGGAGTAGAATTCATTAGTATAGCTGGAGCTTCTTTAATAATAACAGATTTAAGAGATGCTCATAAATAATCATTTTTATAAGGACATGATGATTAAATCACATGTTTAGCAGTTTCTAATAGAGGTGAATTGATTGCATCAGGATAGAAGGGAGACAATTCTGATGTTATTATTTGGGATTATCATAGAAAAATTCAAAAATATAGATTATCAGAGCATGATTATGAAGTAGTATGTGTAGATTTTAGTCATGATGATAGACTGTTATTCTCTTCAGGTAATCCAATGGATAAAAGAATATTCATTTGGGATTGTTAGACTGGATATATAGTAGGATCAGTTAATCATACACCTGAACCAACTACTATAGCAAGATGGGGAGGATTTGCTAAAGATATTAAAGGAAGAGATACACCTAAATATTAGTTTGCAACTTCAGGGAATAAATAAATATGTTTGTGGAAGTTAGACCCTAAATTAGGAGTATTTGAAAAAGAAATAGTGAATACTGGAAACTTGGTTAGAGATTATATTTGTATGGAGTTCTCAAAAAATAGAGAAGAGTATCTCTTATTGGGAACAACCTCAGGAGACTTTTGTGTATTTCAAATGAAAAATAAGTACTATATTAATATTTAAATATTTCATAGATTTTTTAGTCATTAGATAGTTGTGGCAGCTTTAGGAGTAATGTCTATAAGATTTGTAGATTTTTCAAGATTTTTAGTTGGAGCAGGTAATGGTACATTAGCGATGTATTAGATTACAGAAGAAAATAAGGTATATAATTAGATTAAATTAGATCAACTAATTACATAAAACTGATTTAGGTGGAGCAGTGAATTCAATTACTGTGAGAGTAGATGGTTTAGAAAGTTTAATTTCAACAGATAGAGGATTGATATTTCGATTTAATACAAATAGTTTTTAGAAAGGATTACATAGTGAGAATCATACAGGATCAATATTAGATATGAGTTATCCTCCAGGAGTTTCAGATAGATTTGCATCTGCATCAGAAGATGGAACAATAAGAATTTGGGATATTAGTGAATATAATGTAATTGCTAAATGTTAAGCTAATGTCAATGTTGTACCTTTAAGTTTAGTTTACAGAGATGAAGTATTATTAAGTGGATGGGCAGATGGTAAAATTAGAATGTTTAGATCCGATAATGGTTAATAAATTTGGTAGATTGATAATGCTCATAAAACAGGAGTAACTACACTTTGTATCTCGAATAATTTAAAATTCTTTTGTAGTGGTGGAGGTGAAGGTGATGTTAGAGTTTGGGAAATGAGAACTAGAGAAATGGTATCACATCTTAAAGAACATACTCATAAAGTAACTAAAGTTAAATTGATTGCTAATGAAACATAATTATTAACAGCATCACGCGATAGAGCTCTATTATAATGGGACTTAAAAACTGAAAAAAGAATTAGTGCTCATATATAAAGAATGGGAGGAATCAATTCTTTTGATACTGTTCCAAATACAACTGTTGTTTTCAGTACTGGTTAAGATAGAAAGATATCACTTTGGGATCTTAATTAAAGTGAAGTCTAAAGATAATTTGAAACTAGTGCTAATCCTAAAAAAGGTAATTATTATTAATTATATTTTTATAGGTGATGAATGTTATTCCATTTGTCTTTCCCCTAATTTCAAATTTGCTGTTACTGGTGGATCTAATTGTTCTGTTAAATTATGGGATCTTTAAACTGGATAGCAAATCTCTGAAGGATTTGGACATTCCGGACCAGTCAATACTGTATAATTTGCTCCAGATGGAAAGTAAGTTATTTCAGGTGCATAAGATGGAGTTGTTATTGTTTGGAATGTATTCTTATGACATCATATATCAAATATATTATATTAATCATTATTAAATATATCTATACAAATAGACTCAAATAAACTCATTTTCAAAACTGAATTTTTATTCAATTAATTTAATAAATATGCATAAAAGACCCCCTGTCCCTAAATTTCATGAAGAATGCAATACTCCTAAAAGAAATTAAGACATGTATGAATAAATTTCTGACATTGTTTACAAAATGAATCTTAGTGATCAAGTTGAAAAAAAATCAATCTCCATCTTAAATGTTTTATCCATTCCTAATTCACATCTCCATGCATAAGCTATCGTTTACTATGCTATGAAAGAATTATAATACAAAGTACCTTCAACTGATGAAAAAGTCCAATACTTAGTTAAATGTATTTAATAACAACATTCAACTTTGATAACAACACTCTGTGAAAAACTCAAAATCGACTCAAAAGCCACCACTGTTTGTGTCACCCTATTAAGGTAAATGTAGCCTCTTATTCAAAAATTACCTAAATCTCTTTAAAATGCTATTGCAGTAAAAATAGCCACTGATATCATATATCTCAATTAAGGTGCCATCAACATCAAGTTAATTGCTAATTTAGCTAATATAACTCCAGAACAATTGCATTCCAGCATTAATAGAATCAAACCATTTGCTTTCTAAATCATTTAAGATTTGTTCAATTATTTTAATCATCATTCTATTTGAATTTTTTGTATGTCTATTATTCTATATAAATCTCATTAAATAATTCAAATTTTATAAAAATTTTTATGTATTAATAATTATTATTTTTAACCTCCACTCATCATCAATAAAGTTTTATATTTAAATCATTAAATTATATTATTCAATCATCAATTCTATTCATAAATTATTAACTTGCTAAATAATTTAAATTTATTAAAATATATTATTTTTATTTTATCTAAAATTTTTATTTTTCCCGAATTTTATTAGTATTTGTAATTCACCATAATTTTAAACACATCATTTTGAATACCTTTGGAAAATTAGAAAACTAGATTACAATTGATAAAGTTCTACAATAAGACATTAAATTAGGTTTATTTGAAAAAAATATGATGATAGATATGAAAATTTTGTTTTTATTCATTAATATTAATATAGATAAATATGAAAGTGAATAAGTTTCATAATTTATATGCACTTGATTAATTATATTGAAGTTTAGTTAGACATTATAATCTGCATTATTTTATTTGAATTAATTTAATAATGTAAATAAATTATTTTATTTAATTAAAAAATCAACAGTTTATAATTTAATAAATCTGGAAATTTAATTAAAATTATTTTAAGACTGTTTCCTTTTGTTACTTTTTAAGTGATTTGAATTTATTAAATTGCTGGTAATTGCAAATTCTACTGATCTTAGTTGCAGTGTATATATAATTTTAAAAAATATAAATTATAACAATGATGTATTATTCAATATATATATCAATATTATGCTCAATTATGTTCAACGTAATCAGAAATATCCTGGATACATTTATAATTATTGTTAAAATCCTAAATTAATGGGATATTAATGATAATTTGGATAAATCTAATTAGTTGGAACATAATTCATATATGTATTAGGGAAACTAGACATAAAATATTGGTTTCCATAGTACATTTATTAATTTTATGTTTGGGGTAGAGAGAGATTGTTATTTTATTGATGATATAAATTTGGAATTTAAGTCATTTAGTACTAAGAATCTTAATTAATTTTCGTTTTTTCAATTTATGAAATATCTAAACATTTAAAAATAATATTACTTGTAGCACTTATCCCATTATCAAGGGATAGTAATTCTACTTTAGGTTTTTTTAAGTTTTAATTCTCTCCTAAATTATTTAATAATGGTGTATCAATTCTTTTGGATGCTTCCTTTTTAGCCAAGAAATCAGACATAAATTATGTTACAGTCAAACTTAATTTTTAATCAGGATTCTCAACTATTGCTTTAAGTAAGGATCTCTCTTCACTTTCTTAAACCTTATTTTTAACTATTAAAATTACATTAAATCTTTTTAAGTTTCTAATAATTCCATTATATTGATTTTTAATTTAGTTTTCGCTTCTACCATCCATTTCATTTTGTATTTTAGACCATTTTTTACCATAATTTAAAATCAGTTAAATTAGTTTTATTTTTTCCTCTTTCGTCCATGTTTACTTAGAAATGTTCGGATTTAACACATTATTCCATCTCTCTCTAATCTATTTAGGATATCTCTAAGATGAAGACAATTAGTTAAACTTAATTGTTAATTCTGTCCAATTATTTTTTGAATAGTATTAACTAAAATATTTAAAAATCTTACCTAGCAATATCTGTCAAAATCTGATCTTCTTCTTTGGTCCAAGGTGAGATTTTTAGGTTAGAATGAAGTAGGGATATCCATTTTAATTCAACCAATTACTTATTAACACAGAGTATTTTCGAAATATACTCCCAATCGCTATCATTCTAATTATTAATTAAAACTATTACAGGAATTAGGTCAGATCTATTTTAATACATTAAATATTTTGTCATACACCAAATAAGCAAAATTTTGTCTTATTGATGCCATTTCTTTCTGCTCTAATCATTAGTCGATCTAAATAAAGTAGAACGATTCAAATACTTTGAAAAAACTTCCTCATAGTATTCCTTCATTTATTAATCAGATGGAAATTGGCTGACTCGAACTCTTACAAATTATTTTACTGTCTCTTCCTCAATGGGATTCAATTTTTGGATTTATTCCACAAAATCAAACCATTCCTTGGGTAGATGTTCTTTTATTTAAATCATAAAATAAAATATAATCAAGATTTGTTAAGATTAATTTGTTTATTAATATTGGTCAACTTCAATAAGATAATTTAAATCAATTTTTAATTGATTTGTATATTATATATATTTATTAACATTGTTCTATTTTTATCTTAATTATAGTCTGAGTTTATTATTAATAGTTAAGATTTTCTCCAATTTCCTTTTACAATTATTTTGTTATTTTCCTTTTTAAAACATCGACAAAGAAAATTACATTATCAAATTATAAAGTTTCTTACTTTAAGTAATATCAAAACTCTACTTTTCTTCCCTTTCTAATTTTAAAACTTAACTTGACTATTAAATAATTCGAATCCCAATATTTTTAACTCTTTACTCTCAATAAAAATTTTCATCAGTTCATAATTTATTTCTCCATACTTTTTGCCTTTCCTAAGTTATTTTTTTCTTTAATTGTTTCTAAAAATGTTAATCGTGTTCTATATCATCTATAGTAGCTAAATCTCTAACATTTTTCTTTTTTGAATACTTTTCATAATACTCTAGAAATTCAAGGAAACTATTTAAGCATTAGACCACACATAAGGATGATGACTAAAATTAAATTATCCACAAATTAAGAGAAATAAACAATCAAAATATCAATGCTAAGCTAGATTTACAACTATCCATCATCACAACCTTTTTTTCCAATTATTAATTTTCTTTGTAGTAAAGAATTTATTATAATTCTAAGCGCAAGGTTCAGTATTTAAAACAATCAAGTAATATATATACAGATTTAGAAATTAGATGAACTTTAGAAAAAAAAATAATCACTTTCGCCCTTCATAGATGTGTTTAATTGAAATTATTTATTAAATTTATAAACCTTCATTATTTTGAAAATAATAATAGAGAAATAAATATTTTTCACTTTCAGAAGCTCATTTTATTAAGAATTCGAATAGCTAAATTTAAATACCATTATTTAAGATTCAAAAATGTTCAGTGATAAATAAAGAATACTTTTCAACGATAACTTCTTGTTCTAACCATATCATTTTTTTATTGATCTAATCATAATCAAATATTTTATAATAACCACCAGAGTTTACTATAATTCTATCACAAAAAATTTTATTAAAACTCATTTCTTAATCTTTCCAAATAATTATGAAAATTCGAAAATCATATTATCAATAAATATAGAGATAACATTTATTTATTAAGATTATTTTTAGAGATTATTCTTGAAACACTCATCAATAGAATCTACATCCTTGAATATATTTTGATGTCCATTTAATGCTAATAATTCAGTTACTCAATCTCTGATACTTAATCCAATATATCTTCTCTAAATAGAACATTCAAATTGATCAAAAAATCCTTTCATAATTGTTATTTTCTCAATAAATTATAAACTTGGGTTTTTGCTTTTGTTTTCAAAAAAAATTACTTTTTATTTTTAATATTTATATTATTATATATTTAATCGGATTAATATTTGCATTAAATTTTCAGCCTTCACAAATTAAATAAAATTTTTAAATTATCTATAAAAACATGTAAAATCTAATTTACTTTTAAAGGATATAGGTATATAGCATTCGAATAAGTCTAAAATATCAAATTAATATATTCATTATTTCTTGAGATTCTACTTTGTGATTATATTTACTTAGCAGTTTATTTCCATTTAAGTTCATTGATATTAACATGCTACTCCATAGTGTACAATTTTTAAAATACATTTGAAAAGTTATTATAAAAAAAAGAATAAGTTACTTTTTGTATTAAAGTTATCAAAAATTTTTATTTAGTTTAAATATTTATTTTTAGAACGAAATCAAGGTAATTTTTAGATTGCTATCCTTCACTTTGCAATAAAATATTATTTCTATGATCAAAATATGAAAATCTATAACAAAGTCAAGGTTTTACAAAAGAATGCCGATCTAGAAATGACATCAAAATTTACAATTTCATATCGCAATTATATATTTCCAACACAATCTATTCTATCCTAATTTAGTAAATTATTCTACTGTATTTGTGTATAAACAATTCTTATTTGCAACTATTATTGAGACATGACTAATACATTATGATGCAATTTAGAAGACCAATTATTATTGATATTTATCTAAAATTCTCTTAAACATATCTATTAAATAATAAAAACATGTAAAGATAGGTCTTAATTAAGTGATAAAGGATTGATTGATTAATTAAAACAAATTTTCGTTATAAATGAACTGACAAATGCCTAACTAAAAATCATAAGGTATCAGAAAGAAATTAATATTTATGAATTTAATTTTTTTAGAGAATTATAAATAAGATCTAGTTTTTGATTTGTCTCAAAAATTTAGCTTAATTGACTTTTTAAGAAAAAAAAAATAAAATAAATACAATGATTAATATATGATTTAAAATATTATAATTTTTGAACACTCATAATGTTAAATTTAATTCGTATTTTTCATAAGAATTATACTGGTCATTAGGAAAAGTTGGATAGAATGCAACACAAGCATCAGAACTGCCAACATAAATCATATTGTAAATTCTCCAATATATCAATCTCACCTAATAATATAAAAAAATAAATTATACTCTTCTTGCAGGATGATAAAGTCCTTATAAAGCATAAAGTAAAATATTTCCAGGTCCAAGACTAACTCTCATACCTTCAATAGCTTCCATTACAGCATTAATAACATGTGGTGAAGTTTCAAAAATATTTGGCCAAACATGGTTAAGTAAATGCATAAGTTATTCTTCGCATCCTAAACATTAAACACCAAGAGCTAAATGTTTGACAGCAGAAGAAGCAGTTTATCTATGAACAAGATCTCTATCAGTCAAAGCATCAATTAATAATGGTATAACTGAATTAATATAAGAATATGCTGTTGGACCTATGTATTCGAACATAAAAGATAATGATTTTAAAACACCATTTTAAACATTGAGTTCTCTAACTCTATATTCATTCATTAAAGCAGGTAATACAGTAAATGGACCACATGTTTCTGCTACTATTGCAATTGCTACTGTTGTACAAACACGAAGTTATCTTTCTTATACTTTTAGATTATTTAAAAGAGTAGATAAAACATCTTAAGGTCCAATAGCCTTTGCTATATAACCAAATGTATTAATAGTAGCTCTTCTTATACCTTTTTTATGTGCTTTTAATAAATCTAATAAATCAAAACATATTCTAATCCATTCTTTTGGAGAAACATGTTCTGGTCCTCTATCTGCTATTCTACCAACTAAATCAATACAATTTTCTTAAACTTTTTCATGTCTATTTTTTAAAATTGGTGTTAATCTTGGTAATAAATCTTTAATAGGAGGGGACATTTTATTCATTCCTATTACATTTACTATTGCCTTTAATCCTCCTAATATAGATCCTAAAACTTCTGGATATTCTTCACCTAAACATTCAAATAATAATTAGCCTAATCTTCCTAATCTAGCTTCTTCTTAACAATTTTTCATACAAACTGCTATTTTACCAATTAAATCAGCTGCTTATTATCTAACTCTTGGAGATTTATTTGATAATCTCCATTATAAAACACCTCCTAATTAACTGAAATATGGTTTTGATCTACTACCGAATGCATTAATAATAGATCCAAATCCACTAAGCATTGTTTATGTATCTTCACTCTATTATTCATTGAATGCCCATAATACACCATCCATTAATCTATTTTCTAATTTTTAATCTATATCTGAAACTCCAAGTTAATTTATAAATTTTTCTATTGTTTCAACTACCATTTTTCTGAATGATTCATTTTCATCTTTTAAATCTCCTACTATTCTTTCTAAAATTTCTGCTGCTCCTACTTTAGCAGCTATTTCACATGTAGTTTCGACCATCTATCTATAATTTCTTCTATCTGTTGCTGTTCTTTTACTCCAATAATATTTGAAAAATTCAGGCATTATTTGATCTCTTACATAAACAGCCTCTATACCTGCACATTATATGCATTATTTTATTACCATTAATACAATTTTCTTCATTTCTTCTTCCTATATTTCAAATTAATTTTTCAATATAGGAACTATTGCTTTAACATACTCTGTTGCATGTTCTACATCCATTAATGGAATGATGAATCCTATCGCTTTTAGAAATGCTGCTAATCCTTTACCCTTATGTGTTTTTATGCCTTCCCACAAAGGAATAAGCACATTATCAAATGCTTCAATACCATATGGAAAAGAGGCTTCCGCCAAAGCAGCTAATGCTAAAGCTGTAATTGTTTTTACTTTTTATTATTCGTCTTTTAATCCATGTTATATAATTTCGACAAGCGATTTGAGATGAGGTAAAATAGCACAACCCATAAAAATACTGATTTATTGTACTATTTTAATACCAGTATGTCTAGCCTACCAGCTTTTTCTACTTTAACAAACAGCTTTTAAGAATGGCAATAATGCTGGTATACCTAAGGCTGAAGCTACGATAGCAAATGCTCTGGCAGTAGTATTTCTTACATAATCATCATTATGATCAATATCAGGTCTCATGGTAGTTATCATAGTAGCTAAACCAGCTGCTTTAGCTAAATTAGATATTATTTCTCTTGCTTCAACTCTTGCATAGTAATCTTCATGAATTAACAATGGTTAGATTACAACTAATATTTTATGTACATATGGTCTAACCAAATCATCTAATTTAAATAACACTCTATCAATAACTTTAACCAATAAATGTCTCTCTTGATCTTCTAAAGTTGGAGACATTAATAATGGTAAAATCTAATTGAATAATGGAGCAGGTCCAAATTCTCGAGCACTTTAAGTTATTTATCTTAATGCAGATTTTCTCATTTAAGGAGTTCCATTCTTAATTTTTAATAACAAAGCCATGATTTTTCTTTCTTTTGCTTATTCAGGTGTTAATTCATCTTCATTTATTGGTTAAAGTAAAGCAGAGAATAAATTATATTCTTCTGGTTTAATTGCTGGTAATTAACCTATTGTAGGATGTGATGGTGTAGCTGAAACTTCAATACGAATAGATTCTGGAATTTAATATTGAACTGGGGATTCAATACTATTTTTAGCATTAAGTAATTTCTTTAATGATGATTTTAATGGTTTATAATTTTCAGGTGCTTTTAATATCTATTTTATAAAAGTATGATTACTTCATAACCATCTTTAGGACCTGGTAATATACTATTCAATTCTTCATCTGTCATATATTTATTTCTTTCTTCCATTTCTTTTTCTAATCTAAATTAGTATACTCTATCAGGTGTCATATTTCCTAATTATCCTGGTGTCATAGGTGTTCTCGTAACAGTTCCTGGTGTATGTGGTGTCATTCCTCCTCCAAATCCAGATTATCCGCCTAATGGTGTTCTCTCTCCCCATCTAGCTTTTATGTAAGAACGGTTAGGAGTTGGAGTTTCTCCATATTTATATGGTGTATCTCCAATTTCCATATGTCCTGGAGTTGGTGTTTCACCAAATACTGTTCCTGTTCTACCTGGAGTTGCTTATAATTTATTAGTATTATCCCATCTCGATGCTCTTGCTGATGATTATGGACCATCTAAATATTTATGAACTATTTAAAAATACCTCTTGATGGGGTTTCCCATTTTTAAGGCTTTTTAGTAACATCTTTGCTTTCTTATTCCCATTCTGATCTTTCCTATTTTATTTATTAAGCAACATTTTATTCCACCTTCACTTATTATTTTACTAATTTTTTTTCCTCCTTATTTAATGTCTCGGTCTTTTTTATTTTATTTTCAATTTCAGATCTCGAATTCTCTAGGTCTTATTAGATCATGATTTCTGCATATGTTCTCCCATTCTCACCTCCTNCAGTAGTATTTCTTACGTAATCATCATTATGATCAATATCAGGTCTCATGGTAGTTATCATAGTAGCTAAACCAGCTGCTTTAGCTAAATTAGATATAATTTCTCTTGCTTCAACTCTTGCATAGTAATCTTCATGAATTAACAATGGTTAGATTACAACTAATATTTTATGTACATATGGTCTAACCAAATCATCTAATTTAAATAACACTCTATCAATAACTTTAACCAATAAATGTCTCTCTTGATCTTCTAAAGTTGGAGACATTAATAATGGTAAAATCTAATTGAATAATGGAGCAGGTCCAAATTCTCGAGCACTTTAAGTTATTTATCTTAATGCAGATTTTCTCATTTAAGGAGTTCCATTCTTAATTTTTAATAACAAAGCCATGATTTTTCTTTCTTTTGCTTATTCGGGTGTTAATTCATCTTCATTTATTGGTTAAAGTAAAGCAGAGAATAAATTATATTCTTCTGGTTTAATTGCTGGTAATTATCCAATAGTAGGATGTGATGGTGTAGCTGAAACTTCAATACGAATTGATTCTGGAATTTAATATTGAACTGGGGATTCAATACTATTTTTAGCATTAAGTAATTTCTTTAATGATGATTTTAATGGTTTATAATTTTCAGGTGCTTTTAATATCTATTTTATAAAAGTATGATTACTTCATAACCATCTTTAGGACCTGGTAATATACTATTCAATTCTTCATCTGTCATATATTTATTTCTTTCTTCCATTTCTTTTTCTAATCTAAATTAGTATACTCTATCAGGTGTCATATTTCCTAATTATCCTGGTGTCATAGGTGTTCTCGTAACAGTTCCTGGTGTATGTGGTGTCATTCCTCCTCCAAATCCAGATTATCCGCCTAATGGTGTTCTCTCTCCCCATCTAGCTTTTATGTAAGAACGGTTAGGAGTTGGAGTTTCTCCATATTTATATGGTGTATCTCCAATTTCCATATGTCCTGGAGTTGGTGTTTCACCAAATACTGTTCCTGTTCTACCTGGAGTTGCTTATAATTTATTAGTATTATCCCATCTCGATGCTCTTGCTGATGATTATGGACCATCTAAATATTTATGAACTATTTAAAAATACCTCTTGATGGGGTTTCCCATTTTTAAGGCTTTTTAGTAACATCTTTGCTTTCTTATTCCCATTCTGATCTTTCCTATTTTATTTATTAAGCAACATTTTATTCCACCTTCACTTATTATTTTACTAATTTTTTTTCCTCCTTATTTAATGTCTCGGTCTTTTTTATTTTATTTTCAATTTCAGATCTCGAATTCTCTAGGTCTTATTAGATCATGATTTCTGCATATGTTCTCCCATTCTCACCTCCTTAATCATTGAACACATCTTTTCTTTCTGGACTCAACTAGCGGTTCTTTTGCTTATACTTGAACTTTTCTTCAACTTTGTCTAAATTTTACTTTCTTGTTTAATTGTCTTCACCAATTTATGCAGCTTCTTCCAAAATTTATTTTGGTGCCGTATATGCAAATCGTTATTTGCCTTGCTCTTCAGTCATTTAATTTAAATAATTAATAAAGATTTTATAACAATGTTTATATATATTAATATTGAATTCTTATAATTATCTTCCTTATCTCTAAGGATTACATTACAAGTAATTTTTCATTTTAATATATAAATAATAAAATTTAATAGATATGTAAAATACTAATAAAATTAATTTGTTAACATCATAATGATCATTTGAAAGTTAGACATAGGAAAATCCACCTAAATTTTACTTAAAGAACTTTGTTAAATGTGTTTTGAATAAGCAAGCTCAAAATATAATGTTATTTTTTAAATAACATTTTTATGAAAAGTTAAATTAACAAAGAGATAAATAATATAAATAAATTGAGATCTAATTTTTAGAATATCTTATAAAATTATCATATTTATTCAAGAATATAGAAGAAGCTCAAAATCAATGCATTAAAATTTTAACATTTGTCAAAAAAGAATTTTCTTAATTTTAGTATATTTTAGACTAAACTTTGAATAAAACAATAAATATTGGGGAAAATCCTACTATATCATAATTGTAGCAATTAGCTTAGAAAATTGATCATAGATAATAAAATACTTATAAAGATTTTATTAATAAACTCTAAGATCTATTCAAAGAAATTAGAAATGTTTTTAATTAATTAGATAATAAATAAAAAAGTAATAAGTGAGTATCTTTAAAAATAAAGAGATTACCATTAATGAAGAATTTTGTTCTATAAGTTTTGTTTTGATAGTTTTTTAGCTACTTCAGAAGATAAAAATATTTTTATTTGGAAGCTTGATAATTATAAATTTGAAAAAAATAAAATTATTGAATAGTCATTAAGAAAAAATCACTTTTATTTAATNAGTATTATCCCATCTCGATGCTCTTGCTGATGATTATGGACCATCTAAATATTTATGAACTATTTAAAAATACCTCTTGATGGGGTTTCCCATTTTTAAGGCTTTTTAGTAACATCTTTGCTTTCTTATTCCCATTCTGATCTTTCCTATTTTATTTATTAAGCAACATTTTATTCCACCTTCACTTATTATTTTACTAATTTTTTTTCCTCCTTATTTAATGTCTCGGTCTTTTTTATTTTATTTTCAATTTCAGATCTCGAATTCTCTAGGTCTTATTAGATCATGATTTCTGCATATGTTCTCCCATTCTCACCTCCTTAATCATTGAACACATCTTTTCTTTCTGGACTCAACTAGCGGTTCTTTTGCTTATACTTGAACTTTTCTTCAACTTTGTCTAAATTTTACTTTCTTGTTTAATTGTCTTCACCAATTTATGCAGCTTCTTCCAAAATTTATTTTGGTGCCGTATATGCAAATCGTTATTTGCCTTGCTCTTCAGTCATTTAATTTAAATAATTAATAAAGATTTTATAACAATGTTTATATATATTAATATTGAATTCTTATAATTATCTTCCTTATCTCTAAGGATTACATTACAAGTAATTTTTCATTTTAATATATAAATAATAAAATTTAATAGATATGTAAAATACTAATAAAATTAATTTGTTAACATCATAATGATCATTTGAAAGTTAGACATAGGAAAATCCACCTAAATTTTACTTAAAGAACTTTGTTAAATGTGTTTTGAATAAGCAAGCTCAAAATATAATGTTATTTTTTAAATAACATTTTTATGAAAAGTTAAATTAACAAAGAGATAAATAATATAAATAAATTGAGATCTAATTTTTAGAATATCTTATAAAATTATCATATTTATTCAAGAATATAGAAGAAGCTCAAAATCAATGCATTAAAATTTTAACATTTGTCAAAAAAGAATTTTCTTAATTTTAGTATATTTTAGACTAAACTTTGAATAAAACAATAAATATTGGGGAAAATCCTACTATATCATAATTGTAGCAATTAGCTTAGAAAATTGATCATAGATAATAAAATACTTATAAAGATTTTATTAATAAACTCTAAGATCTATTCAAAGAAATTAGAAATGTTTTTAATTAATTAGATAATAAATAAAAAAGTAATAAGTGAGTATCTTTAAAAATAAAGAGATTACCATTAATGAAGAATTTTGTTCTATAAGTTTTGTTTTGATAGTTTTTTAGCTACTTCAGAAGATAAAAATATTTTTATTTGGAAGCTTGATAATTATAAATTTGAAAAAAATAAAATTATTGAATAGTCATTAAGAAAAAATCACTTTTATTTAATTTGGTAGATAATTAAATGGTTTTTATCTGGTTCTGATGATAAAACTCTAAAGATTTCGAAGATTAATTAAGACTATTGGTGTTGTATTAAAACTTTAGAAGGACATCAAATTTACATTAGTGATATAAAAATAAGTTAGGGTGAAAATACAATTCTATCATTAAGTTTTGATTTTAAGATTAAAATTTGTTTACAGAAAGATCAAAAAGGTTAGATTTGTTCTTAAACTATTGATAACCATAAAAATTAAGTTTATCATATATCAATAAACAGATATTATATATATTTTGTATCAAGTTCAGCTAATTTAACATCAATATTTTGGTTAATAAAAAATGGGAAAATTTTTATACAATAGAAAAAAGAAATAAAATGAATAAATTAAAAGAAAATGTTTTTTAAATGATAATAAATAGTATGTTAAGTTTTAGGATTTCCAAAAATATTTACAATATAGATAATAAAAATAATGAAATAAATGAAAAGTAAGAGATCCCTTTGACAGAGCAGGATAATGAATTTTCAAATAATCATATATATGGATTTCTTATTATAAAAAGAAACTTCTAATATTTAAAAACAAAAATTTTAAGAAGAAATAACAATTGATTATTTTAATAGTTTAAATAAATAGATGGTAATTATTAAAGTGAATATTTAAGAACAAGTGGTTAGAATAAGAAGGAGAGAAAAAAATTAGAATTATTTAAGGCTTATGGATTAAGATATAAGTATACAATTTTAGGATATATAATTTTTTTATATTGAATTATTATATTGTTGATCATAATCAATTAAGCAATTCATGCTCTAAGGCTTATCTATCCCACCATCCTTCACTATCAAAAGTGAGAAATTCTCCAGTGGATTTGTCCTTGAAAATAAGATTTCTATCTAATTTATGATAATTTAGATTCCAAAAGTAATTTTCTAGATTGATTATATATGTAATTACCTTTTGTCTCTTATTCTGAAAAATTAACATGCTCTAAATCTGATATTTGATGCAATTTAGTGATCACTTATCCAAAAGCACCAATTTTTTAAACAGCAATTTAATGAGTATGAGGCAACAAATCCATTCTAATAACTGTTCTTCTTGTAAGTTCATAAAAGTAGGCCTATGATTTATGATTAGTTAATACATTAAATCCAGCTGTGTAACCAAATAAGGCAACCAAAGCATAATACAATGGATATTTAGTAGTCAAGAAGAAGATTCCTCCTACAATTTCTAAAGATCTGCCATATCTAAAAGTTTTTCCAAATCTATATGATGTATAAATGTTGATGCCATTCTCATGAAGCTAAATTGATTCTAATAGTTTAATACCTTTGGTGGGAAATACACATCAGAAACAGCTTCAGCTTAAACACTTGAAAATGATGTTGCAATGTATTTGGAAATTGTTGAATTGTATAATCTAGTAAAGTAATATAATTATTAAAATACGGTGTAATCTTTGGTAACCAAGTGTATGTAGCAAAAAATCTCTCTCTTACTTCTGGATGCTTGTTAATAAAAACTCTATATTTATCTATATCAACACTAGTCATTAAATCAGGTCTGTTTGGTTAGTGATGACTAGCTTTTATATGATGATCACTTGCTCTGAATTTACTCAAATTCACCAATGATCGAATTCCATTAAACTTTTACATTATTAATATTATTTGATTTAAATATATAAATTTTCATTATTTTAATCAAAATATTAAATAAAATTTTTATTGTTCCAAAATGCATAATTATCGTGGAGTTCGACCATCTACTGCTAAAATGAATACACTTCCTCCAGAAACTGAAAATCTTGAAGAATATATGTACAATTATATAAATTATTGATAGGAAAATCCTCTATGATCACTAAAAAGCTTGTGAGAAATCAGGAAAATATTTGGAAGCTGATTGTGCAAAATAAAGATTAAAAGATCTCAAAATTAAATACGAATCCAAAACTAAATTAGACATTAGAGATAGACATGAATAAGAAGTTAATTTATATTATTTATTATAGAAATATGAACTTACCAAATAACATTAAGCTGAGATGTAAAATTTTAATGCTTTTTGGGAAGAAAAAATATAAGAATTTGAATAGGATGCTTAGAAACTTAAAAATGAATTACAATAAAAATAAGAAGATGAAATGCAATAATTTCTATAAGATTTAGAAGGATCTATACCATAAACTCCAAAAGATTCTGCAGAATTATTAAGTCTTAAAAAGACAGAAGAATAATTAGCAAGATAAGAAGAGTATTATTATTATATTCAATTTTTATTTAGATATTTGGAAGCACATAAAATATAATCAAGAATAGCATAACTTTAAAAAGAGGAACAAGAAAAATGGACATTATTGAGAAATAATAAAATCAAGAATCTTCTCACTTAATAAAAGATTAAATAAGCTAATGAAACTAATGTTTTAAATTAAAGAATTGAAAATGCTGCAGATGAATAAAGAAAAAATAAAAAAGCAGAAGAAGATACGTAATTATTTTGTTAATGATAGTTTAACTTAAAAATATATGAATGTTAAAAAGGAGTTAGAAGGAAAACAACTCTAAGAATTATAAAGAATAGACAAAGATTTTAAGAATACAACCTCTATTTTTATTACATCTAGAATGTCCAAAATGGCTTCTCAAACAGGTTCCTAAATGCAAAGTGAAGATTGTAAACAAAAAATTATATATTCTAGAATAATTCAAAGGAAAAAATTGAATATCAATTATAAAATTATTTATCATATCTTTACTATTTTCATCTTAATTGAATTAAATATATGATATCCATGTTTTTTATTTGAATTTATATTTTTGTAAAATAAAAATAAATATTTATTATAATGGAGTAATTTATATCCTAATTAGGAGATAAGAAATTTGGAAAAGAACTGGAACAATTAGTGGAAATGGATGATGAGTAATTTAGATATAAATAATTTATAGATAAACTATGAATTAATTTGTGTAAGCGATGAAAAAGATTATGAATGAAAAATACCCTCCCAAAGAATGTCTTTATGGATTAAAGATTGTCAAAGATTGCATTGAGAAATTCAATGACTCTTTTAAGCTTAAGGTTAAATAAGAATTGATGGATATCATTTATTAAATAGCTACCTATAGAATAAAAGATTAAGATGATACAAGGGGAGCTACTTATTTTAAAAACCCAGAACATGATAAAACTATAGAATAATATGGAGCAAGCTATCATCGTTTAGCTTTGGATTGTATTAGAGTATGGGCCAAATGGTTTCCAGATTTCATGATTTATTAAAAAAAATTAGAGTAAGAAAATGGATATTTGCCATAAATAAACTACTTTAAGTAGGATTAAATAGAAAAGTATATTCCAAAAATTTAAGCAACTCCAACTCCATAAGATGAAACATAATAAATTCAAATCAAAGCCTAAGAACTTTAATAACAACTCATAAATTTATTTATTGCCAATAATGATGAAAATAATGTAGTAATCAATGAATTAGCAACAATAAATGCTTAAGTTGAAGATTTATTACTTTTAGATATTTAAAATGAATTTGTAGATGATTTTATTATGTCATATTAAGATTATTAAGGAGGTAATCTAAATTACAATCAATTAAGATAATAATTTCTTCGCTCTCATTAATCTTAATTTAAATAATAAGATCCTTTAATTAAAAATTAGAGCAATATTTAAGCATCCAAAATTTAAAAGCCTCCTTAATAATAATATTTCACTTCTGAAAATGATGATAATTATATTTAATCATAAATCTAACAATAAAAAAATGAAGACAAAGTAATGATTGAAAATTTAAAACAAATTATTAATTAAAAAGATGGTTTAATATCAAGTATGAAATTAGATTTATAGAAACAAATATCATTAAATGATAAGTTAAGTAATGAAAATAATTAGAAACAAACAGAAAATCTAAAACTTTAATAGGAGGTAAACATATTGTAACAAAAACTAAATGATGAAAATCAATATTATTAAGATCATTTATTAGAGTTATAGCAATAAATTTAACATTATTAATAATAGCTTGAACAATCAAAATAATAAATTGCTTAATCATAAATAAGATTAGGATAATCATAATTTGAAAAACCTATGGAATCATAAATTGCATTATAAAATTTGTAAGAAGAATTAGAGAATTTAAGAGTGGAAAGAAATTTGTTATTGGAATAATAGAGAATATTTTAATAGAAAAGTAGTTAGGTCTGTAGTTAACTTGACTATATGAATTTAAAAAAAAAATATGACGACCTAGATAGCAAATACTTCTTATTAAAATAAGAGAATCAAAAATTGAGACAATAAACTCTTGAGTATAATAATTATCAATCAGCAAATCAAAGTAGGAATATTGATAGTGTGAATAGAGAAATTGATTATTAGGATGAAATTTAAAATCAAAAATTTGTTTTTTACAATTTTAAGGACTCTGATCTATAATCTTAAGTTTTAAGTGTAAAATCATAATAACAAACTACAAAATTATGTTATTCTAAGGAGGTTTAGTAATTGATTTATCCTCATAAAACTGCATCTGAATATTATAGAATTAATGGAAAGAAATAATTTAGAGGAATCCAAATTAGTAGAAATTAATTTCAACTTTAATTGAATAGCACTAATATTATTAATTTTAAAAAAGCAAGTATAAATTAACTAGCTATTTTATTTTAATCAAACAAAGTTGAAATAAAATCAAGACAATAAATTATTTACGGTAATAATCAATAAGAATATATATCTACTACTTTAAGTATTAAGAATAGAGAACTCAAACCTGTGTAGGTATAAATTATCAATTACAATAAAAACGTTTGGGTCAATAAGGATTTGAAAAGCATACTATTATAGTCATAATAATAAATATTGTATGAATTTATACGAGAAGCCTAAATTTAAACTCACTAATAAACTTAATTATCGTTTTCTATCAAGTATTAAATATATATTTTAACCTTTTAGTTTTGAAAACTTTATTTTATATTTACCAAATTTTATATTAACTTCTTTGAAATTCTATTAGATAGAGGCTCTCTCTTTCAAAACTATAAAATAATAATTTTTGGGTAAGGTTTATAAAACCTAATTACTTCCAATAGGTTGCGCTTTAGAATTAAAATAACTTAGCTAAAAGGGAGTTTTATTGAATAATTGGGAGTTAGAAAATGAAGAATTGATTACAGAGAGTAAATTTGGATTTAAAGCTGTGTTATTAAACTAACTTGAATTTTATATGGAATTGATTACAACACCTTGCGAAGAATTTTTATTTAGAGGATTTACCAGTTTCGATGAAGAATTATTATAATTCATTCTTAATGGATTATCAAATTTATTTAGTTGATCAGAAATATATTGCGTATTATAAATTTTTCAATTAACAAAAATTTTTTTATTTATTTATCAAATTATTAAATAAAAAATAAACACAACAATTCATATCTTATATTCTTTTTTATATTTTTGAACAAGAATTTTATTTATTTTAAAAAAAATATTAGTATTGTAAAAATGAATTTAAAATTTCTAGCTAAAAAATTTATTGATCTAAAATAAAAACTAACATGTGATCATTTAAAATTTATAAAATTAAGCTTAAACTTCCTTAAATATATATATGATGATACTCTAAAAAAGTTAATTAAAAAAAAGTGTAGATTAATTTTTATTTTATTCTTCGGAAAATTTGGGAAGTATTGGCTAAAATAAAAGCTTGAAATGATATATATTAGTTTAATTTTCTATTCAAATGAAAAATAAAAATTGCTCTTGTTAATTACCTAAATCAATTAAAGTTAGAGGACCGCAAAAATTAATTAGCTTAAGTTAACTAAAAATGTTTGAGATAAGCTAAGTTAATTATAAAACTAAATTATAAAAACATACAATTAGAAAACTTATCCTTAACAAAAGAGAATAAAAAAAAAATAAAATAATTTTCAAAACTAAAATAAATTAGCTCATCACTTAAATTAAAATTTCAATCTAAAATTGAAAATTATCTTGTATAATATCGGATTATCATTGGTATTCAATATTAATAAGAAATTTATATAAATAAATGAATTGATTTTGAGAAATTTAGGAAATTTTGAGTACAATACTCTAATCTGATTCTAATAGGGTTTAATATGAATAAAATTTAAAACATTTACTTAAATAGACATACTGGATTTTTTACAAACTTGAAAACACAAGTATTGATAGATACAATGCCTAGACTTAAATTATTAATATGAGATATCAATGAACGATATATTTAATTTTATAAAATAATCAATTAATAATTTAATTATATATAAAAATAATTTTTTGATATATATTATTCAGTTGATGCAACTTACTTTAGTATTAATATAATAAATAAACTATGATTGATAATAGAAGACAGGTTTCTGAAATAGATTTTTATTTAAACAAATTTTTAGATTTTAATTAATTAATAAATAATTTTATCAACAGGACACTTTATAATATAATAATATATATTTTTTTTTTAAATAGCTTAATGCACGATTTGCAATAAGGTGATTTGATAGGAGATATATACAAAGTTAAGAAGCTTCTTTCTTAGGGTTCCTTTGGGAAAGTTTATATAGGGAGAAATATTGAGAGCGGAATGAAAGTGGCAATAAAAGTAGAAAAATAGGAAATGTCAAATTGCTTAAGCTTAGAAAGAGAGGTTAATTGAATGATAATGATTAGATAGAAATTTTGAAGAAATTAAGGGGAATACCATAAGTGCCATAATTACTTTGGCATGGAAGACATAATGAACTTTAAGTAATGATAACGAAAATGCTTGGATTTGATTTAATTTATTTTTTGAAAAAACATAAGAAATTCTCACTAGAATGTATTTTCAATATAGCTTAATAAATGATAGAAATATTAGAAAATATTCATAAAAAGTATTCACTGATATTATATATATAATAGGAATATAATTCATAGAGATTTAAAACCAGAAAACATTTTGGGTAAAAGACATTCTGATTAGATAATTTTAATTGATTTTGGAATTTCAAAAGATTCTTTAAAAAGTAAGAAATCGACTAAAGGCAAAATTCCATTTATAGGAACAAGTCGATATGCTAGTTTGACTGCTCATAGAGGTTTAGATTAATCAAGAAAAGATGATTTAGAATCTCTAGGATATGTTTTAATATACCTATTCAAACAGAAGTTACCATGGTCTAATTATGAAAAATTTGAGAATGATCGTTTAGAGAGGATTGGATAATTAAAATGTGAATCAACACTTTAATAAATTTGTGATGGCTGTCCATAATAATTGTTAATGTAATTGACAAAACAAAAAATATAGTTATATGACTTAAGTGGCAGAATTGAATCATCAATAAATTCCAAATTATTAGAAGCTCAAGTCCATTTTTTAATTGAAAATTCATCATAAATAGTATGTGATTTTTGATTGGTCAAACCCTTAATTTGTAAATTCAAAAACTAGTCAAAATACTAAAAATAATAATTAGAAATAAAATAAATATGATAGTGTTTAACATATAAAGCTGTAATTTATATAAATTATGTTTAGATCTTTGGATAAAGTAAGTTCAAGACATCTTCATACAATCACTTTTTAAGCTGATTCAAATGTATCTTCTTTTAATAGTTAACAATCTAGTAGTATGCAACACTCTTTTGGAACTCATTAAAGTGTATAAGTTGATTTTTTTAATTCTGATTCAAGTAGTATTCAATCATAAAAAAAATAAAATAAAATATCAACTGTTGATGTGATCATATTGAATGATGATATAATGCCAGTTAAAGACTAACTTTAATTAATGGAATTAGAAAATTAAGATTTAGAAATTAAACATAATTTATTGCATTATCATTCCGTTTATTATAATTTCAAGAATCCATTTTAAGGTTTGTTACAACTTAAAATCAATTGATTTATAAAACTTCCTTTTAATATAATTGTATAATAATATATCGAAAATTGAAAAAGTATTATCAAAATAAATTTATGTATAATATTAACAATTATATAAAATAAATACATATCATCATATAGATAAACTCTAAAAAGGTTTTATTTAAGCACCACTAATATATTTTGATGTATTGTTCAAACAATTTTATTCATTTCTTCCTGTCATCTTTTGATCATAATTTAAAATGAGACTAGGAATAAATTCATTATTGAACTCATTTTTAGTTTTCTAACTTTTTGCACAGACACAACCCATCAAAACGTAAATTTAATATATAAAATATATTAATTCTTGTTAATACATTCTTTCTTTACTGAACTGAATCACTTCAATATATTTTGAATACAAGAGTTATTTTTAGAAGCAGTTTTTTAATTTTTTAGGTTTTTTTAAGAATGATTCTAGAACAAATTTTATTTGGTTTGATCTTAGAAATAGCATTAGGAAATTAAGAAAGTACAACCCCAAAATAAAATTATAATTTGTAATTACTTATTTTTGTAATGATATTGTGAGTTGAAGGAGTGTAGTAGTAATAATAAAATAGATAATATTAAATGAGAATGTAAATGTAGTGAAAATGAATAATTTAATATCATTGATGGCATTAATATATTTAAAAATAAAATTAGGTTTAATTAACATAAATTAAGAAATAAATTCAACAGTTAAACATAGATAATTTAGATATGATTCAAAATTTGAGAATCTGTTAGCCAAAAAATTATAAGGAAGATCTAAATAATAGAATATTTGTATATAGAAATAAGTATCTGATATAAAAGTTTTTATATCATATCATAATTTTACATTAAATAATATATATAAAATATACACATATATATCTTTGGGAAAAATGGATGTGGTAATGGAAGGAAATTTGGATGAATCCCTCGAAGATAATATTATTTGTGCGATAGCTAAGGTTTTAGATGAAATAGTGAAAGAGACAGACATAATCGAAAGTCCAATTTAAACAGTCTTTCACACTAATAAAAAACCTTAGATAACAATTTATAAATATATTGAGCGTATTAAGACGTACTGTTATTGCAGCAATGAGTGTTTCGTATTAGCGCTGATATATATAGACAGAGTGCAAAAGAAGAACTAAGATGTTGTTATAAATAGTTTTTGTGTTCATAGGTTGAAATATAAATATAACCATAGATTTCTGTTGGCTTGCATTCTTATAAGTATAAAATACAATGACGATGACTATTATAAGAACGATTATTATGCAAGAGTTGGAGGAGTTGCAATATAAGAGTTAAATACATTGGAGTAGGAACTATTAAAACTCTTAGATTATGAACTATTTGTAAGTCAAAAAAAATACTACTATTACAAGGAAAAATTGATGAAATATGCAAAACTATGATTATATAAATATATATAAAATGGAAATGGCATAGAGATTAGACATTAATTCTTTAGTACATTTGAATAATTTTATTTTTCTTGTCTTTTCTATATGTGCTGATAAAATAGTAACAGAAGATTTCCAATGCAACGACTCTGAAGGAATTGGATTTCTACATTTTATCTTATATGGAAACTTGATTGTGTAAGAAGTCAAATAAATAATTTAGATATGGGATTATATTCATAATACAATTTTTGAGTGCATGCAATTTACTAGATACATGTACTAGGAAATTTGGAGCTGTTTGCATTACAATTAATACATTTGTCTTTTTTGGAGGTGTAATTATATTTGATGTCATTTCTATGCTTTATGGAATTAAACAACATTTCTTTTCAGCCAGATCTAAATGTAGAGAAATTGAACTATTTACTATGTGTTGTGCTTATATTTTTGTAGTCTGGATAAGTGTAATGATAATTGGAGCAATAAATCATCTTATTGACTATTTTAAACCAAGAAATGATCTCATACAACCTTTGAATAAGAACCCTGCTGTTTTGTGAAAATATTTTATATTAATAAATCTGTTTCATCAACACTCAACTTATATATTGTTTTTTTCATTTTTCACTCTTCTTCTCTCTTTCTATATCCGTAAACACTCTTTACGGACTTAATTTATTTGCCCTTTTAATATAATTCTAAATACATTATTCAATTATTTAAAATTATATCTAAACATTATCCTTTACTATTATTTATATTACTTTCCAAATATTCTTTATTTTATATGAATCTTCTTTAATTGCTTCCTTTTTGATGCACTAAATAACTTAATTACAAATTCTAATAAGAATAAATCATTATAAAATTACTAACTTTTTATTTGATTTCTTTTTAATATTGGTTCCTCATTTTTATTTTAAGTTATAAATTTTCTAGATTATTTAAATCAAATATATCTTTGAAGTAGAGACATCCAAAATACACTAAATTAATTATTAATACAATTCAGAAAAAAATCTTTGAATAGGTATTTATTGTCATTTCTTATATTACTGAGAAAAGAAGTACTCTGATTTTTAATTATTTTTATTAAAAAATTAAATGTTTAAAATCAAAAAAAATGATGGAATGAAAAATTGGCTTAATTCAGATGTAATCAAAAAAGATAGAATAAACTTATTATTGTATTTTTGTTCATCATTTTTTTACAAATAATTTTTTTTATTTCTAAAAATTATGAAATCAACTTAAATATGCTATTTAGCACTCAATCTCTTTTTGTTCATAAGTAACATTTATTCTAATTAAAATATTTTTGCAATTAATAATTATCAAGTTGCTAAATTTTAATGTATTATAAAATATTGGATTAAGTTTGAGATTTCTTCAAGAGGTTTTGAAACAAAATAACAAATTTAGTGTCAAATTTACAAAGTAGTTATTCATCATCAAATGCATAATGTAAAATTTCCATGGCAAATAGTTGCAATACTAAACTATTAATTTTCTAACAGTATATTGAGTTTAAGATATAAGGAATCTCTAAGTCCTAAATAGTGGATTCAAAGTTAATAAGAGATTCTTTTGGTAAACCTTTGATTAAAAGAAATTGTAAAATTATTAATCATTCTTCCAATACCTGTTATTGATGCGATGAAGATAATTCGTTTCTATTCAGGTAGAATTAAGAAATAGAAGTCTTCAATAGAAGAAAAAATTGTTTTATTTAATGTTTTTCAGCTTTTTTTCATAAAATTATGAATTTTCTGTTCGTGTACAAAAAGTAATAATACCATTTTTAAGGAAAGTTTTATATAAAGTATATAAAAATTCAATGTTTTGCAGTAGATGGTCGACCTTTTGATTTATCTAATTGTACAAATTAAGTAATAGAAGTATAGTTACCTGGTCCAGGGACTAGTTTAATATTTAAGAATAAGAAATACCTCCACTCTTCTTAGCTGCTCTAACAGCATCATCAATAAAACACTTTCTTTTAGCACTGCCAAATCTACATTTAGGTTTAGTTTATAAAAGTTAAGCATTATATTCTCCAGGTCCTGGGAAAAATGTAGATTCAGTTGAGAATCTATCAGGACCTTTGTTGATGGAAATGCTTCTACGTTAATTAATATTAGGATCATATGCACCAGGACCTGGCATATCTGTAATATGATGATTGAGTGTAACTCTTTATCCTATAGAGTAAGAAATAGTTTTATTTGGGCTTTAATCATAGGAGCCTGGACCTGGAACATTATTATATTGTAAATAAGATCTGTTTTTGACCATGTTTCTACTTAATCCAAAGGATGCACCTTTATTATTTTAAAAAGAACTAGTTGCATCATAATAAGTTTCAGTATAGGGTTAAGTTTTTGTAAAATCGAACTTATTCCCATATCCAAATCCAGAAGCTCTGGTACTACGAAAATAATTAGGTTCATAATAGTCTGTTGAACAAGGAGTATGAAGTCTTCTAAATCTTTTAGCTTTAGGAAAAGAGTATTATATATTAGCTTATACATGTTGAGACATTATTTTTAATATTAAAATAAAGTGAAACTAAATCATTCCTACTAATTATTTAGATCTGCATTAATTTGTAACATCACTTATCTTGATGGTCTCATTGGTATTTAATTAGAAGAATTCTTTGTTTTAACTATTGATTCATTAATTATGTTCTCTTATTCAGTCTTATTTATTTATCTAGACAATGAGGAATTCTAAAATTAAAATTTATGTTACTCTTATTATAGTTGTTTGCATAGTGGAATTATTCATTTTTTACTCATATTTCACTTTTAGAGAATCTATTTCTTTAATCTTCTCAGTCAATTCATTACCTTTCTTTTAAATCATCTAATCTCTCTCATGAAGACTATTCTACATATATTGGATTTATTATTAACTATTATTAATTAATTAATTGTTACAAGCTTTGATTTTCATTGCCAATTGTTTACAACTACTCTTTTAATAATTGATTTTACTATTCCAATGTTGAAATCGCTTATTGCAACTATTATTATATTCTTCTATTATTTTCTGCATCCTTACTAGTAGACTCATTTTATCTTCTTTATTTATTCATTAAATTATATATATCATCTACTTCTTTTGATTTATCTTATAATGATAATTCCAATAATTTAATCTGCTTTTCTAAAGTTTAAGTTTAAGATTTTAATTTCAAATTATTCTATTCTAATTCCATTACTTATTATTCTAATATATCATATTCTGTCTTTAATTATTCATAATTTTCAGATAATTAAGCATCTCTGAATCTGAATCTTAATTCCTCAATCTCATGTAGTCTTTCATCTCCTATTGTAACTAATCTCTTTATCTCTTAACTTAATACAAGTATTCTCTATTCATAATCTTAAATTTAATTTGTTAATTAATATTTTTATGTTTCCCAATTCATTCGTTCTGCTTAAAATTTAGTCTCCAAATCTCCCACTTCCAAACCATTCTTTTACATTATTGTTATTTCTGATTAATATTATTCCATTTATTAATATAACTCTTCTATCTCTTATAATAATTATTTCTATTTTATTTCTTATTCATATACTTTACTCTACTCTTCAAATAATTAATTTTTTGTTCTATCCAATTCATTTGTCATTATTATCAATTTATTTTCTAAATTCTATTCATTCAAACTATTTTCTCTTTCATAATTTTACTTCTCCTACTCCATTTAGTATATTGTATTATGATATTATTGTGTTGTCAATGTAAATTGTTATATTTTCTCATTTTGAAGTTCTGCAGATTCTTCAAGTTATTTAATTTAATTTGTCAAATCTTCAATTACACTCCATAATCTCTCAATTTCAGTTGCATAAACTAATATTCTTGTTCTTTCTTTTAAGAAATCTTCTTTCATTTTCTATTTCTCGTTTGAAACCATTTACAATTCCATTTAATAATCTTTTATCTCCTATAACAAATTAATTCTTTCTTTCTCACTTGCCTACAATTTTTATTTTTAAACCTCTAATTAATCTTCTATTATGTATTAAAATTCTGATACTTTTTATTACAACTATGAATTTTATAAATCAACCTACTATTTCTGTTGCTACAATTATCTATTCTAAATTTCAAGAGCTTATTTATCATTGTTAAACTTTTAAGTTAAATCTTTTATTTATTAATCAAGTACTGACCTTCTCAAATATTCTCCTTATTTTTTTAAATCACTAATTTCAAATTAATGTTTCTCTTATATTAATTACATCTAATCTTGCAAGTCCTTTATTTGAATATCTTTTTATTGACAGCTGAAAATTACAACTTTATATTCTCTATTAGTCTTCTCTAATTCTTTCTATAACTCTTCTTTATCTTGATTGATTTAATTATTGTTTTAAGTTATTCTATTCAACTCACTTGCATAATGATCAATTTATTACTTAACCTCTTATGATTTCCTATCTTACTACTATGAAGTTTATTCTTTAATCTCTTCCATTTCTTCCTCTAATTAAGTAATCCTCATATTAAGATTGTCATTATCACTATTTAGCAACATTAATTCCTATTAATAATTACCTATCTCCATTTCCAATTATAATATTTGATTGCATTTTTAATCAATTATTGAAGTTTGATCAATCACTTATTCCTATAGTCTTTCAATTTTCTATTAATAGTCTCTACTATAACTATCATTATCTCTCATCAATAAATTTAATCTTTCAAGTTCAGTTGTAAGCATAGCACATTTATCTTATAATTCTTAATTTCTCTCAGTCCATTCCTATTATAAATATTCAAAGTTTTGTTGAGAATTCTGATTCTTTGCAACTTCTTATTACAACTATTATTTTAATTGATTATATGATTGTTATTATTCCTGTAACAATTTAAATTGTATTTCAAATTATTCTAATTTCTAGATCTATGAGAAATAAGATTAACTCTTTTATTCTTATTCTTCTAATACATTTTAAAGTCTTTCAATCTCAGAACTTAACACAACAATTCTCATTCTATCTTATTATTCTAAATCATCTCTTTATTCTATCTAATTAATTTACTCTTCATATCTAGACATAAATTACATCATTTCTTCAATTTAAGATTTTAATTCATTATTTTCATTTTATAAATTTTTGGTAATGATCTTATTTTATTCCAAATCTCTGAAACGCATTCTTTCCATTTCTTAAGCTAATAAAACGCATTTATTTTCTAATTCAACATTCCTATTTTCTAAATTTTTAATTTTCAAATCAGATTAAATTCTATCTTAATTAAATTACTATGTTATTTCTCTGACTTATGTATCCATTAATGATCTTTTCCAATATTCATTAGTTTATGAATATTGAGTTAACTCTTATTAATGATTATGTTCCATATTTTAAATTCTTTCTTTTAATGATTAAATTTCAGTATCTTTACCTTATAATTACATTTTGAGTATATCATAATCTTATGAGTATTCTCTGTAATTTTTAAGGTATTCATCTCTTTCTTTACAACATTCTTAATATTTTAAATTTGATTTATTGAGTTCCATAATATATTGATCAACTTAGTTGTTTAGATCAACAGTTCGTTATTTATAATTTTGAATTTAATCTAACATTTTCTTAAGTTCTTATTAATGATTGTGATTCATTTCTTAGAATTAAGCAGTTAACATTTTACTTTAAATTTCTGTTTATTTTAGAAATTCGATTTCTCTATTCTTTTCTTCGATAATTTTTTATAGATTAATTGCCTCAGAAGTATTGGATTGACTATTAGTGGTGTTATTATAGTGAATAATCTCAGATTTATGTATTTTAGCCTCTGAATCTGCATGAGGATATTTAGCTTTATTAGGTATAGGAATGTTTTTATGAATCATATATTCAATTGGTGTCATACGACCTTAATTATTTGTTTTAGGTTAAGAATTGAGTCTATTCATAATTTAATATTTGAATTTTAAAATAATATCAGTCAGTTCATATTAATAAATATTAAATATAATGGAAAGTGCATTTATATTCGGATGTCTCTTTGGTATGGGAATCAAAATGACTGTAAGTAGAGTAATAAGACAACCTTTACTTTATAGTAAGAAATAATCAAATATTAGGATGTCATCAATATCCAAAATACATGTTTTTGACTGGATTAGCTTTTTCAGGATTTGATTGGATTAGACGTCTATCTTTAGAAACATTATGTGAGAAAGAAGAATTAAATGAATACTTAATTCGAACTGCTCGCATTAATTAATTAGCAACAGGAGCTGAATCTGTTGGAGATTACAAGAACGAGTTTGTTTAAATTGCCGTAAATGAGCACATTTATTGATAAATCATGTCATAAATCAAAATCATCGTTGAATTCACTATTTGGATTATTTAAACTCTCCATAAGTCCTTTAATTTTAGCAGAATCTTTTTAATCAAGTGACATTGCAGTGCTGAAACAACTAAATAATATTGTTGTATTTTTTTACCTTTGTGCTTCTTAAATCTTCCCAAGTTTTTTATAAATACGACCCATCAAAATATAGATTGCTGCTTCTTTAGGTATTAATTCTCTTAATCTCTATAATTCATTTAATGCCTAATCATATTAATCTAATTTTATCAATGAATTTGCCTATTATTATTAATATTATTTCTATATATACTTTTTAATATTTATTTAATCCATTTTAAGGATCTAATTTTTCACTTTATTCAAAGTATTTCAAAGCTTCATAATGATCTCCTTTAGCAGCATAACTCATTGCTAAAAATGTTGGAAGAACTGGATTGTTTGAATTTATTTTCAATGCCTAAGTGAAACATCTAATTGCATCATCATATTTATCTGTCTTATAATACATGTTTCCTTATCCCCACCAAGCATTATATTATCTTTAATCTAAAGAAGTTGCCATATCATAGGATTTCTTAGCTTATTAAAAATTCTCATTTTATGAAAATTCGTGACCTGATAATGTATAAGCATAAGAATAATCTTTTCTTAATTAAATAGCTCTTCCAAAAAATTTAATTGAATTATCTATTTCTTTGCTTAAACTAAAACAATTTCCTATAGCAATCCATGTTTCAGGTGCTTACATACTAATTTATAAACATGAATGAGCTAGATATGTTAATTCTGATTGTTTTTTTAAATGCCATAAACAAGATGAATAATAATCCATACCTTCTAAACGATTTGGTTCTATTTATTTCATTTCCTTCCATACTCTTTCTGCATCAGTATATTTTACTTAATCCATAAAACTTCTAGCTACTTTTTCAAGTACCCATCCGGATCTATAATGTTATGGAGGTAATTTTTAAAAATTAGCTATTGCTTCAACTGAATAATTTGTCCATAAATAATATGGATGAGCAAATAATTTCAATAATTAAGGTAAACTATTAAATTGTATTTAATTCATTATCTTACTTAATCAAACTGGGAGATTATTGAATTGCTGCTGTATTAACTTTTTAAATCTCACTCTTTTTAGGATTAAAATTCTTATTCTAATTTTATGAAAATTAAAAAGGTTAACTAAGAAGTGATTAATAATTCTAATATCCTACTCCTGGAGTTGGTACCATCTTAGCACCTATTTTTTTCTATTAATGCTCTATTGTATATCTAATTATTTATATTACATAAGAATTTCATTTAACTATTAGATGTATCATCCATATGAACTATTTATTATTAAACACCTGTTGTTGAAAATGGCTTTATTGTTTATGACTATCTTTTACCTGAATATTATTACTATTAGAATATTTATTATATATATTACACTATCAAATGTTTATGTTTCATCTCTTATTTCTTCCTCCTTCTATCCTGATTTCAAATTAGTGGTCTTATTTTTCAATAAATTTTATATGATCTTGTAAATATTGCAACTTTATTATCTATTCGTTTCATATAATCTTTATTTTTAATCGTTAAACACTTTGTTAATAGTAACAGATTCCCCAATTTTTGAAAGTCTTTCAAAAGCCATCCATAAAGTTGGGTTTTAATCTAATGCTTTATAATATTGATGTTTAGCCTCATCAATACGATGAAGTTATTCCTAAATCTAACCTAACAAAAAGTAACCAAATCCTCCATTTGGTATATTTGGAGTTTAAGGTGAAAATTGACTGCTAAACTAAGTTCCAACCAAAGCAACTTCAGCTTCCTTATATTTTTTATTTCGATAAAGTGACACAGCATATTAATAACTAAAAAGCATTTATGTTTTTTTCTACCGATTGAATTCAGATTTGCAATCCTTAAGTATATGACAAGCTTTATATGGCTATTACTCTTTTAAGTAGCATTCAGCCAATAAAGATCTATATTCTTCTGTGTCTCTCTCATATACCAATCTTTCAGCTATTGTATAATCAAAATAATCAATACCTAAAAAGGTAGCATTTTGATCCATATGATTTTAAAGAGAATCTAAAATAGCCTCTACTAATTGTTATTCTAATTAACTTTTAATTTGCTGTCCCTCTTCCTCAATCATAATTCAAAATTTGAAATATTATATATATATTGTTTATGTCTCAATCCAATATTTTGGCCTTACATCCTTTTAAATGTACACAGAATAAAAACACTTCATTTTAAGCTCTTTCGATTTTCATTTAGTATTTGTTCTTGCCTTATTCAAATAATAGGTCACCATCAGTTGGATCAAATTTTATAAGTATCACATCTTTAGGTTCTGGAGTAAATGATAATCCTTATTTCCAATTTATGTTTTTATCTGAGTTATGACATGTCCCTTAAATAAAAGAAATTGAAATACATCCATCTGATCTGATTAAGTAAAAACCATGACCTATTGTTGCTAAATCTTATTATTCAACACCTTTTAATTGTCTAGCTTTTTAGAGTGTTACTCCAAGAGCAAAACTAAATGATTACTTCTTTAACTAAGATTGTCCCAATTAACTAGCCTATAAATTCTTTTATTCACATTCTCTGATTTCTAATTTGATTTCCCATCTCTTTGAAGATGTCAATTGTTATTAGATACAAGCAAATGACCATCCCATAAAAGATGCTTATATAATTAAGAATTTAATACTTGTTGCTTCAATTTCCTTTTTTGCATCATCTTTTATAGCATAAATATTAGCCTTAAATTAATCACTCCAAGTATATTTAACATTACCTAATGTAGTAATCTATAAATCATATTGTTATGCTTTTAACATTCCTATCACCTCAGTTTTCAACTTATTCATACGATCATCTATCTATTCTAAAATGAAACTGTATTTTGGAATCTTTTCAACTTAGAATTCTACAACACTCTTTAACAAATCAGCTGTTATGTCTTTCAAATTTTCAGTTTTCCTAACTGTCCACACATATTCTGAAAGTTATTGTAAACTTGGCATTTTCCTATAATTTTAAGATTATCTATCTATTATACTTGATTTCATTAATTTCAAATAGATCCAACTTCTCTTTTACTTCTCTTATTATTTTAGATATTGCATCCTTAATTGCTTTTTCATTACTAGTAATTTTCTGAATCTTCTATAAATCTGCATCTCCATACTTTTCCATTATATATGATTTAAACTCCTTAAATTATACTACTTTATGAGACTTGTCATTATGTTTGGGTACATCTGCCATAGTTAATAATAATCTAGATTAGGAGGTGCATTTCTCATTTATACAAAACAAAATTTAATCCATTTTAAATTAATGCTTTTCCCATAATATTAATTTAACCATATAAACTAATAATATAGATAACTCATATTCTTTATTATAATGGAGAGTGACATTCGAAGCATCAGATTATTTAATAAATCTGTTTGTCAAGGTCACTCATAAACTAAGAGAAAACGGGTGGCAGCTTAGCTTAAATAGTTTATGCTTGTCAATTAGATTTTCAAACAAACTACAACTAATATTTTTAGAAATGTTTCTCTTTATTGATCCAATATTTTTATAATTATTTTAATGATTACTATGTTAATTATGACATCTCTTAATTATCATATTTTTATAAATTAATCATTTATAATAATTATAAATACACTTTAAAATTTATATTATTATTATTATTTATATTATTATTAAAATTTTACATTTGGATTTGCATAAAAAAGTAATAATGATGATAAGGTTCAATTATATCCGAAATGATTTGCAAAATTATTATATAATAATTATTTAATTATCAATAATGAGTCTAATAGTCAGATAAAGAGTTGGTATGCATGATGAGTCCACTACACATTCTATCTTATCAAAGGATATTAAAAAAAAAAGTAAGTCTCATTTTAAAATTAGAAAACTAAAGTAGAAAGCGTCAACCAATTAAATAACTTGTGTGCTTAGTTTCAATACCTAAACCATTTAAAGAACATGTTTATATTAAATCAAACGTTGAGCTTAAATTAGCCCTCTCTTACATACCTGACCACTGTTTAGGAGGTTTAAAAGAAACCCCTTGCACCTACAATTACAGAGTCTCACGTACCGATTAATTAGACGACGTCTACTTTTATACTCTAGAATTACTAGACTAAGCCAATCATTCAATTGATTAGATAACCAATATGCTTTTTAATTAATCAGACCCACATGCCTAATTAGCTGCTAAACTTGTATAAGAACGCCATTAAATCTTGAATGATTACACTGAACAGCCTTACATTTCTAATGAAGATCTACTTAATGTTGAAAAAATTGCTTAAAATTATCCATATCAATGTACTATACAAAAAGTGAGCAAAGATTCTAGTTCATTATCTTAAAGAATAGTCAATGAATAATTTTACACTTTAATGGGAGTAAGTCGAGACATGATGCTAAATCATTTACATGAAACTAAAACTCTTCCATCTATTTTCGATCTTGGACCTTCTCTTTAAATGTGGTGTGATTTGTCAGCTAATTCAATTCAATCTTCACGTACTTTTGAAACCTCCATTAATACATATGAAGGAGCTCAATACAAATGTATTGTTGAATAGAGACAAATGTTTAAAAGAACATAAGTTAACCCAAATTAAATTGTCTTCATTGAATTTTGGCTTTTTAAAGTAGAAGAACCTTTAAAATCATATCTCATGAATCCATAGCGGATATACTAGAATCAAATTGATTATTTCAATAAGAAAAATACTCAATAAGAATATGAAGCATTCCTTTAATTAATGAAATAGAAAACAACTCCTTAGTATAAAAATAAAAATCCTTGTGGCTACAAAGAATTAGCATGGATTTGATTGTCTATTCATTATTTTATATTATTTAATTCTGTATTTTAATATCAATCTTCAATTTTTCTAAATTTCTTAAAATTTATATTATTTATTTCTCTCAAATATTTTACTAAAATAAAGATAATTTAGGTTACATTTTCCTAATATTTATATGTTCTTCCAAATACATTATTTTTCTAAGAATCTTGCTTCTATTCCTTTTATATATAGAATTTCATTAAGATCTCAATATTTTTCTAAAATTTAATTTTATTTATCATTATTTCTACTATATATCAAAATTTCTATACTAATTCATACTCATTTCTCTGATTAAAAGTTGTAAAACATAATGAAAAATATTATACATGAATTATGTATCAAAAATTCCTTTTATTTTTAATTTAATTTATTAATTTCTATATATCAAGTAAGGTCTAAAATCAATTTTTTTATCAGCAATCTACTCTAACCTAACCCATTTGAGCTTATTTATGGTTATTTCTTAATTGATTATAAGATTTCAATCGATTATGTTTAAAAACTATTAAAATAGTAAATAATATTATCTTATATTACTTTATAAATTTTAGATAATCAATTTTTTTACATAAAAAACAAAATAATATTTTTTTATTTAAAAGAAATTAAAAATAGAAATTAATACATATTATTTTCCAAACCCAACTTTTTGATGTATAAAATATTTATTAAAACTTAATGTTAACATAAAAAAAGGGCTCTCCCGGGAATTGAACCCGGCTCACATGCACCCTAAGCATGCATACTACCGATATACTAGAAAGCCTTCTCTGTTATAAAAGATATAGTGAACTTTATGAAGAAGTGCTTAAAAATATTTTAATTAATTTATAATTTTTTCCTTATGAGATTATGAAACAGATAGAAATTTTAATTACTTATCCGTTAACCGAAAATTATCATTAACATTATGTTTGTTATACTTAGCTATCTAATATGAGAAAGATAATTATTAAAAAAATTTCTTGGTTCTTTCTTAAAATCATAATTTTAACTTTTTAAACGTCATTTAAATTTTAGTTTTTTTTCCTTCAATTATTAAGCCTTTTACGTTAACTGTTTTATTTTTTATGATTTTTCACAATATCACTTCTCAAGAGTAAATTAGTGTTGATTATTTTTATATTTAAAATTTTTAAGCATGTTGATGGCTCTTATGTAATTCTTTTCTCAAATCTCTTTGATATATTTTCCCAATAAATTTATTGTAAAAACACCTAAATTTTTAGATTGCAATTCTATTTGTTGATAAATTTCTTGAGAATTGTATTATAAATATAATTGAATGTGAAATTGACAATAATTAAAGTAGAAGGAGATTATGGATTTAAAAATATAAAATCAGGGTAGATAATATGTTATGAATATATAATGAAGGGGATTCAAATATTATATAATGATTTTTGTTTGATTTAATATACTATAAACAGAAGTAATCAAGACTTCTACTTTTTTCCTTTTCTTCTTGAAACATGTCTTCTCTTTTTTCCTTTTCCAATTCTTGCTTTTGCTTTCATAGCTCTTTTATCTTTTTTCAATCTTTTATCAACAGTGAGAACTTTCCTTGAACTTTTTAGTTCTAAAATTAAATTATTAATATACTTCCAGAGGCTTATCCTTTTCTAGCAACAATAACTTTTCTTTCTTATTCTTTTTATATATTAGCCTTTTCTTTATTATATATTCTTCTCACTTATTACATTTTAGTTTTTTCATTTATACCATCAGTATCAAAAACTGTTTAAGCTTTTTTAGCAGCAGTTTTAAGTTTTTTTTAAGCTTTTTTCCATTTTCTAATTTTTGCTTCCATAATCTTAAATAATAAAAAGAAATAATTACTTTTTTAGGTACTCTAGAATTAATTTCATATAATCTTTATTTTTCTTATTAAAATTCCTCTTTAGTAATAGGTTCCATTTTAAATACATGTCTTTCTTCATCTTCCATAAACCATTATGGTAGATCTTCATCTTCCCATTTATCTCTTCCGAATGAATTTTCAATTATTTATTCTCTAGTTTTTTTCCTCATCATTTTTTTAGCTAAAGCCAAATTAGTAGCTAATTCATCAATATCATAATCTTCTAATTTCTTTTCTGGAACTATCTCCAATTCTTTATGATTAGGATCTTTTTCTTATGCTAATTTAATCTTTTTTTCTTCTCTTGCTGCTATCTTTTTGAGTTTTCTTCTTCTTTTTTCCATATCTGAAATAGGAAGATTAAGTTCAAATTATTTAACTTTTTAATCCTCTCCTGGAAGTGGCTCTTATGTTATTTTTGCATCTAAAAAATAGATTTAATTAAATAAATACTTAATTTTCTTTAATATTCTAATTCTTTCTTATCAACTTTTTTTAATAAATCATAATCTTTATTATCATCTAATTAATTTAAATCATCTTAAATCTACTTTTAAAGATGTTTTAATTATTTTGGATCTATAGTCTTTTCTTCTTATTCTTCGCTATCAGAGTCATTTTTAAATTTATCAATAGGTTTTTCTTTATCAGTTTTGTCTTTCTTCTTTTTTTCTAATTATGTAATATTTTAATTTTTTAGAGGATTCTCAAAAACTTCATCTTTTTAAGTTTTAAGTTATTCCTTTAATTTTGAAAACTCTTCTTTTTAAAAGAACTTGCTTTTTAAATCTGAAAGTTTAAGATGATCCTCTTATTTCTTAACTTTCTTAATTGGTTTACATGCAAGATCATCAACATCTACTTCTTCTTAATCAGATTCAAGAGCTTATTTCTTACTTCTTATTCTTTCTAGTGCATTTTCTTTTTTTTATTTTTTATTTTCATAAATTAATTCTAAATTTTAATCTAATTGTTTTTAATTATTAAAAGCTAATTTTTCTTTCTTTGGTTTATCTTCTTATTTTTCTTCTATGTCAACATATCCTAATTTAAGCAAGTTTTTATGTTTCGAAAATTAAAATAACTCTTAATCTTCTTCTTAAGGTGTAAATCCTATTCCTTTTCCAGCTAATTTCTTTTCTTATTAGGCTTATTTTTATTTTTATTTTCTTTATTCTTTTAATTCTTTCTTCTATTCTTCAATATATTATTATTCTAATGCTTCTTTTTGTTTATTAACTAATTAATCTATGTCATCTTATTATTCTACTTCTTAATTTAATTGATTATCATCTTCATTATCTTCTTCTTATTCTTCTGCTTCATCAAGATCTTCAAATTCAGCATTTTCTTATAAATCTTCTTATTCTTATTATTTTTATTCTCTTCTTTATTTTGATAAATAATGTTTAATTTTACTTCTCCATTTTAATAATTATATAATCTCTCTTTTTCCTAATACTTTGATATCTTCCATTAATATTTCATAATCTTATGGTGGTTTAGTAAGATTTAAATATTTTTATTTAGTTTCTTCAGTCATTTTAATTCCAGCATATTCAATAAATATTGGATATGGATTATCAGCATGAAGAAATTCTTCAAAATCAATCATTTAATACACAGTTTAATGAACATCATCAGCATATCCACTTCTATGTCTTTAAGTTCTTTTTTAAAGAATTTTATCAACAGAAACAATTTCTTTCTAAATTTATTATTATAATATATCAGTTTCTGTATCTTTAAATACATGTTTAGAATCAAATAATTTTTCATCAATATATTCTGGTGCTAAATAATCTAAACATACAACAAAGATTTCAGCTGATACAAATCTACTTGCTAAAGGTTTTGTAGCTTCTACTTTTGTAAAAAACTTATTAAAAACCCACATTAATGAATTGTAATCTGTTGATCTGAATACTTTAGTAACAAATACACCACCCTTTTTTAAAAATTATGATGCTAATCTTAATGCAGATAAAACTAGATCATTTTAATTATAAGCATCTTTAGCCCAACTTGCTCCAACATTAGGAGCACCATCATGTAAAAATACATCTGCTTTTTATGGTATTTCTTTTTTAAGTAATTATACACATTAAGGTGTTGTAATATCTTAAGTAAATGCTTTACATCCTGGAATTGGTTTTATATGAATTAAATCTAAACCAATTATTGTTGAACTTGATGGCATTATTGAAGCACAAACTTGCATCCATCCACCTGGAGCTGCACATAAATCTACTACTGTTCTTGCATTATTAAGAAAATTGTATTTGCGATTTAATTAGAACAATTTAAATGCTGCTCTAGATCTATATCCTTAATCTTTTGCAAGATTGTAATATTTATCCAAACGAGAACGAGCTTTTGTTTTTCTAGGCATTTTCTTATTAAAATTAATTTGTGACCAAAATAATAATTTATATGTAATATCAATTTATTTATATTTATTAATATTCATATGGTCAACATGATCTTTATATAATTATTAAATTTAACAAAAAAACTTTCACGAATTAAAATCAATTTTTTCTATTTATTAATTATTTTATTAGTTTTTAACTATTATCTAATTTCTGTACATCACTTGATCTATTTTGAATTTGTAATTACAATTTTCTATATTTAAATATCTTTATACTGTAAATTTGTTTATTAAAATTTTGTTTATTTCAATTGATTTTCTAAATTGATATTGTTTTCTAAATCCATTCTCATCTTGGTTTACAATTAAACAGGGGTTGATGGTGCTGATGTCTTATTTTTTTATTCCAACTATTTATAATAATTTGTTGTCAAAGGAAAACCTTTCTATTCATGAACAGACTTATTAGTTTCATATTTTTAAGAATTCTAAATAATTATTTAACTTAAAATTTTTTAAAGAGCATTGATTTCTTCCCCATATTTTATTTTTACTTTTTTTATTTCATTTTACATCTCCTCATTTAATTAATTAATCTTATCTTCTATCTATTTCTTTTTTATGAAAGGTGACTCTTTATTTGATGTAGATACTCTCTGTTGATTCAAACTTTATAATCCATATTCTGACTAATAATTAATTAAAATTCAAGATATACCACTTTATTCATTGCTTTTTCATAGATTTCTACATCTTTATATTAATGTTCTAACATAGTTCCAGTTTCATTGATTGAAATAGGATCTATATTATTAATAATCATTGTTCCTAGATCTTCTTCCTCTTCACATTCAACTAAAGTATCTAATGGAACTCCAAGTTATTCTTGAGTGAATTAAAATTATTATTCATTTTATCTTTGTAATTTGCTTATTTTATATTAATCAATATTCTTTTTATACTTTAAAATGAATTATTAAATATATTCTCTATTCTTACAGAATTTTTGAAAAAAAGGATCTTGCAATAAATCTTTAGTTGAAGGTCTTTCTTTAGGATCTAAAGTGAGACATCTTTTTACAAATAAATTAAATTCTTTAGACCATTTACTTTGATCAGACAAAGAGTTAGGAGGATTATTTTTAATAGCAAACATAGCTCTAATAGGATGTATATGAGAATAAGGTGGTTCACCTTCTGCCATTTCTATTGCTGTGATTCCCAAAGACCAAATATCTGTCTTTTTACTATATCTTGATTTCAATAGAATTTCTGGAGACATCCAAAAAGGACTTCCTATAACTGTATCTGTATCAGCCATAGTATGTACCAATTAGGTAGAGACTCCAAAATCAGCTAATTTAATATTGCCCAAATGGTCAATTAGTATATTCCCGCACTTAATATCTCTATGTATTTTTTTATGGCTATGCATATAATCAATTGCTTTTAATGTTTAATAGAGAATTGTAGCAATAATCTCTTCTGATAAAGGATGCTATAAAGACTTTATCAATTCTATCACACTACCTCCTTAACAATATTCCATTATTAACCATAACTATCCATTGAAATGATAAGATCCATAATATTTTACAATATTATCACTTCTACAATCTCGAAGTATTTGAATTTCTCTTTTGAGTGATTCAATTTCACCATTAGATGGTACTATTTTTATAGCAACTACCTTTCCTGTATCCATCTGAATACCCTTATAAACTTAGCCATAAGATCCTTCTCCTATTATACATTCTAGACGATAATAATTCTCTGGGTTTATTTAACTTTCATTCATTTTTTGAATTTATTTAAATTAATCGTTGATGGATAATATACCACAAGCATAGTACATATTTTTTGTTTAACTTTTTAAGGAAAAAATATGTTCTCACAGACATTATGAAAAAACGTAAACATCAATCAAGTCTTAATGAAGAGAGAGCACGTTAAATTAAAGAAAGAATTTAGAAAAAAAAATAAAAAACTAAGGATTTTATTCATCCTGAAAAGTTTGTCGATTAATATCGCAAACAATAAACAGCATATTCATATTTTAAAAGAAAAGTATACTAATAACTTATAGTAATTTAGGAACGTAAATAAAATTTAGAAACACTTGATATAAAATCTATTCCAATTAATAAAACATTACTTGTGGTGAGAATTAGAGGGTATACAATTTTTACTAGATTATTTTAGTGTTAAAGATATTTCTGATAGACAATAAAAAATACTAAAGGAATTAAGATTAAGCAAGGTCAATACAGCTGTATTTGTGAAGACAACAGTCGACATTTGGAAGAAGTTAAAATTAGTTGAAAATTATATTACATATGGGTAATTAATTACACCATATTTATATAGATTACCAACAAGATAAATTATTAATGATTTGATTGTTAAGAGAGGACATATAATGAAAGAAAAAGAAATTATTGCATTAAAATCTAATGAAATCATAGAAGAATATATGAGTGAAAAAGATATTATTTGTGTTGAAGACATTGTTAATACAATTGCAAATGCATCAGAAAATTTTGATTTTGTTACCAAATTCTTAGTGTATTTTATAAAATCATATTTAGACCATTAAAATTAAATCATCCAGAAGGATAATTAAAAAGTGGTAGAATTAAAAAACCTTTATCAAAATAGGGAGAATGGGGTTATAGAGAGGAAAGAATTAATAGCCTTGTAGAAAATATGATTTGATTTATGTATTTTATCAAAATTATAACAGTTTCTCTATAAAATAAAAAAAGTCTTAATTTAATTAAGATATTATTCTCCTACATATAGTAGTATATACTAATAATATAATATTTCTTAATCTTTTTTCTCATATAATAAATTGAATTGTCTAAAAAAAAATTCATTAATTATTTTGAAATTCAAAATAAAATATCATGTAATAGTAGAATGAAGATGATGGTATACTTTAATAGGTATTTAAACTCAATATATGTAGTTGAAACGCATTTTAAGTTTTTAATTCTTAAGTAGAAACTATTTTCTATTAAGAAAATTTGATCCTAATACAGGTTGTATAAGGCTTTAGTGTTTAGCCAAGGAAAAAAGCTTTAGACAATATATAGATTATCCTTATGGAATAGAAACAATAGCCAATGTATAAATTTTAAAATTCACATTTAGATATTAATCTAATACAACTATACTAATTGGATTTTTGATCAAGCTTTCAATGTCATTATACCAATATTTGCAAAAGAAAGAAAATAAGTCTAAATTTTAATTAAAAAAAATCATGTTGATGAGTTTAAGAACTTTTTACAAGAATTAGATCTTGCAAGAGAATTTGAAGTTTAAGAAGCAGAATACATAGCAAATAAGGATATGATTAAGCTATTTATTATTTTTGACAATGAAGATGATGCATAGATTGGCTTTAGTAAAATCTAATAATGTAAAGCAGCAGTAACATTTAAATATAAAATTTTAAGTTTTCAATATAAAATGCAAAAATGGAAGAAGTTGATTATTTTAATAAATTCCTTTATATTGTATAATCTAAACAATAATAATTTTAAGATTATAGAAATAATAATCCCAGAAACTATGAAGATCATCAAATTGATGAATAATCATTTTAATAATACTCATAGCCTTAATAATAACAATAAAATCCAAATTAATAATTTTAACAATAGAAATTTTATGAAAATGAGAAATAATTTTAATAAGATTATTCTTCTGATATTGTAAGTTAAAGATTGAATCAAATAAGATCAAATCAAAAAATTGAATTAAATTATGCTCCCTTGTAAGAATAGCAATCTATGTTTTCATTTGTACCTCTTATTAGTCCTTCTTAATAATTTCCCAATTCAGACGTTTAAGAAATTTAACAATATATTAAATCACCGCAAGAAAATACTGAAAATGATGAAGCAAAATAAGCTGAATATATAGAACCCTAAACCAATGAAATATAAATAACAAGAGAAACTGAATCTAATAAAGAAAATTCTGTTGAAAGAAATATTAAGAAAAAGTTTTAAGAAGAATTGTATTAACAAAAATCGCATACCATTCATGGATATTAGAAAAATGGATATGTAACATTTATTAATAACTTAGTAGTAAAAACGAAGATATAATTATGACAATAATCAAAATAGATATTATAATAACTCAAACCATAGAAAACAATAATATTATTGCGATTATAGTATTATATTATTTTTACAAATTTAGATCGTTTAGAAGATGATTTAAGGGAATTTACAGGGTTTAAGAAATATCAATAAAAATAGCAGAAAGAATATTATGAATTGAAAAAGGAATATTGAATTCTCAAAATTTTTGTTATTCCATAACTATAAATTTTCCAAATTTATTTATATTTATTATATAATTAATGAATAAAAATAAAGAACTTATCGATAATTCTAATTTAAAGGATTCAAGAAATTGGATATGTCTAATTTGTTAATTTGATAAAGTTGATTCTAGAAATAAATTCTATAGATAAAAAATAAACTTTTTTTTTGCATATAAATTTTTAAATTAGTTTTTCATTATATACTAAAAGATTATGTAGAAAGCTATTAAAGATTATTAGGATTTGTTTCTAATTCTATTTGAGTTAACATTTTAGATTGTTATTTATCAAAAAAAGTGTAATATTTAATATATTTAATTCAATAATAATTTTTACAGAATGGCATCACAAATGTATTTATATATTAGAACTGAATTAGAGTTTTTAAGGAAAAGGATTACGAATTTATTTATAAAACCAGAGCCATCTAATTACAACAAACTACAGATAATCCATTGAAATTAGACAGGCCAAAAGTCACAATATAGAGAGGAAGAAAAGGAAATGTATAAATAAGAACAAAAGGAAATTTTATTGATCCTTTATCTAGAGCAGGTGCTTAAAAAAGTTAAGGAAATCCATTAAGCCGACCTTAAACAGTAGATCCATTAGCTAGACCCTCTGCATAACCAATATCTAAAATAGAATAACCATAAGCTTAAGTATAAGCTAAAAGTGTTGAACCTAATAAGATATAGTAATAATAATAAGATGCAAAACTTGAGATTGATGCAGAAGAGAAATAACTAAAAGCTACAGGAGAATTTTCAATTTATTGGTAAGAAATAAGAGATGATTTCTAAAACATTTTTCAAATAAAAAAATATGATTTAGAGTAACCAGTGCCGAATGTATGAAAAATATATATAGTAGCCTTTTGGATCTAATGTTTAAACAATGAATTAATTTGATGGATAAGCTAAAGCAGCATATAGTGGAGATAATAAAATTGAATATTAGACTCAAGCTCCAAGATAAGGAACTTCTAAGTAGATTTTATAAAAAACATATATTCAAAAAGTATTAGATATCAGAAGAGATTTAAAAAGATAATGGATTAATGGAGATAAAGTTGCATCATTATAATTAGCTATCTAATCATGTAAATTATTAATCGATAATGATAAACCTCTCTTTGCTCCTATTAAATATGTTTATATAATTGATATTTTGGAAACCTTTGGTAAAGTTGTAATTGAGAGATTGTTAAAATTAAGCTATCCTCAATATACAGATTAGAAAATTGCTGAAATTAGTTTATAAAGTGTTGTTGGATCAAATATATCTGAAACAGCCTCAGAAATTGGGAGAAATTGGATTAATAAAATAGGATCAATTAGAGAATTGTTACCACGATTATATATAGAAGCTACTTTATTGAAGGTTTATTATTTTATTGATTAAAATTAAATTAAACCAATATTCCATAGATTAATTAAATAAGTTAGAGCTATTGGTGATTATATTAATGTATATATTTTTATTAATACTAAGGCATTGTATTTTGCACTCTATTTGTTTAGAATAGGAGCAGAATTATTTTCAGGTGAAAAAGATTATCTTATATCTACATTAAAAGATTTCTTTATCTATATGAATTAAAAAAATAAATTTGGAAAATTAGAAGTCTAAGGAGATTAATATCTAAGATTATTTGAACCTTATTTAATTTAAACATTCCGATAATACTCATAAAATTGTACAGAAGTAATATATATATTTAAAATTAATTTAGAGAGAATTTAAAGATATTTTTGAACATTTTAGATAGAGTACATAAAATCATTTTGTTTTAAAAAAAATGATTGAATAATTTTAAGCTGTTCATATTAGTACATTAGCATTAGAATTATTTTCAATTATGTAAGCTTATTCTGTTGAAAATAAATATTAATTATATGCTTGTTTTTTACCTAAAATTGCAAAAGGATTAACTAATGTTGCTGCTGGTTCTGAAATTTGTCAATATGTTTTATAGGACATTTTATAAATTAAATCTTTTCCACTCTTTTTAGATATTTTGGCATCTTTAATAGAACTAATTTTCAGATCTTTCTAGGGATACTAGAAAAATTAATTTTTTTTCTAAATTCTATAAAGATTCAATGATTTGTTTAGTATGGTTGAAAAAGATTAAATAAACACAAATTAAAGTAGGGATACTTTTATTAAATTACATTAATTTATTATCAAAATATTTTAAGATTCTTAAGATATATCAGAAATACTTTAGATTGACACATTTATAACATGTATTTAATTTTTCCCTGAAGATATGAAAAAATTAGTATGTAATGATTTACTTTCAATGATAATAAATAGAGATCAAAAAGAAAAAATCACAGATCCTATGGCTGTTCATTCAATTGTTAAATTAACAACTAATTTAAATAATAAGAAAACAATTACAAAAGAAGAATCAAAAAATTTGGCTAAAATTATACATTAATTATTATAAAAGATTGATTTTGGTAAAGATTTAGAATAATCATTAAATTTATATGCTGAATTAAGAGGTCAATTTGGAAATATAAATGGTTTATCTGAAATATTAATTGATAGAGCTTTAGATTTGATTTTTAGAGGTAAAAGATTATCTAAGGGAAAGAATTAAAAAAAAATTATTTCTTTTTATTAAGCTTGTATAGCATATAGTTTTATAACTATTCCAACAATAGATAATCCAATATCAAAACTAAGAAAATATATTTAAGTTTCTTAAGTTAGTTTATCATTAAACTTATTATCCCAAAGTGAAGCAGTCATTAAAACTGCAATTGAGACTCTACTTGAATTACCTGAAACATTTAATGGGCGTCCAATTGATGAAATTACTATGCCTTATATTTTAGATTTAATCTCTTTTATCATTTTAGTCCCTGATGATCCTTCTGCAGGTTATTTAAACATTTTTAAAGGATTTTTGAAGGCACTTGAATAATTCAAATGGAATCAAAAAAATGGAGGAATTTATTCTATTGTTACTTATGTAAATTGCATTTAATACTTATGTGCTTAAGTTTAAGAAAGATTACCTTATCATTTTGAAAATGTTAAATCTAATGATGCTTTATTCAATAAAGATTCATAATTTAGTTTAACTGTATTGGAATTAGTTTAATAATTATATATTAAATTAGGTGAATAAGCAACAGGGATTTTAAAATTAAATATTACTGATTCTATTGTAAAAAATATTTTTTATTTTTTCAGGAAAATGGTTTCATTGTTAAATAAATGTTGAGTTGCTTAAATAGATTATTATTGTTATTGAAATTTAACAAGGAAGCTGAAACTACGTTTATTATTTTCATTGATTTATTATATAAAAAGATTAATGAATTGAATAGAGATAGAACTGGAAAGGTGTAATTAACACTTTTGAAGGCATATTTCTTGTTAACTTTTTTGAATATTGAAAAATCTACGACAGTATTAACTTGTTAATAATTTAGTTTAATTTTGAAGAGAAAAGGAATTAAATGATAAATATTTTAGAAGCAGCAAAAAATTGAGTTATGGTTCCATTTAGATGTTATATTATATATAAGTTTCTTACAAAAAAATTAAAAATATTTAAAAGTTTTGAATAATAAACAGTGAGCAACATAATATATTCACTGATCTGAGTAAATTATTATCTTTTAAAAAAGTCAAATTAAAGTAAAAGTGAATATCTGAATTATTATTCTTTTTTAAAACTATATAGGTAATTATATTAGAAATTGAAGTTTATTAGTTTATAATCTGATTCTATTTTAATAAAATTAATTATTTCGAAAAGAAAGCAAATAAAATACAAAGAGAATTTAAAGATCTAAGTAAAATGGTCTTATTAAAGCCTTGTTAAATTGTAAATGTAGTAGCTATTATATTTATGGTTTAAGCTTTAATCAAGATCAACTTGTTAAAAAAGAGTTATAGAAGAGGTTTTTTAATCAGTTGAGAATATCAAAAGTTTTTTAAATTTCAGCATCTATTTCTTACTCAAGAAATTAGATATTTTTATCAAAGAGTTTAGATATATAAATACTTAAAAAAATTCTAGTTAAAAGCAATGAATTTGATATGCAGAAAAATGTAAGGTAGATTAAGATTAAAGCCATAATATATTAATTACTCTTTCTCAGAAGAAGTTGCAATGTATTATCTATCTAATAGAATATTAGAAATATGATTTTTAAATTAGGAGTATTATTATATATTATTAGTTAATACGAAAAGAAATAAATTGCATAATAAATATTATATAATAATTATATTTATTAACCAAATCACCATTCTAAGATATCTAAATTCTTTTCAAATTCAGCAGATCCTTCATAAAATTTGGAATACCATTATCTCCAATTCAATAATGCTTGATCTGCATGAGTTTTCATATTATATCTTAAGGTTTCTGAAAATATCTTTGCATTCCATAATTTAACATCAAAGATCACTTGTCTTAATTCAGCATGAAGAAGGTATGCTGATAACCAATAAGGTAAATAACCATTAGTAAATACAGTGTGATAAACTTTTTAAGTAAATTTTTCGACAGGTTGAATTGCTTATTTAAATAAAACTTCAAATAAGGCACTCTTAACATATAAAGCAACAGTTGCTGGACCCATTTAAAATCCAGTTGCCCAAACAGCATGAAATTTGTATTTATTAAAGAATATGACATATCCATCTAATAAGAGTACATTCATATATGGTATTAATTCTTTATTAATAAGATATTAATCGAATAAAGTTTTTTAATAAGTTCTACATTTCTCAGCTGGATGTGTCATCTTTTCTAAGAAATCAGAGTCTTTTGCATTATTAGTTCTCATTTCCCATTTTAATTATAAAATCCATGATGGAATGATATCCATAGCTGAATAATGGATATAATCAAAGTGTTTCATATCAGCACCATTTTCTGGTATTTCTTATATATGACAATTAACATAATTAACACTCTCAGCTCTTAAAGTTAAATGTTCACTCTACTCACTAACCAAATCATACCATCTAATAGTATTAATAAATTGTAATAATTACGGTTTAGATTCTTTTGAATGTAGCCATATATATACAATTCCTTTTAATTCTTTGACAAGATAAGTTTTAATTTTAACTTCCCCTTCAGATATTTTCTATAAATACTCTCCTTTTTGATTTTTAGTGACCTTTTCAATATCTGGATAACAATAAGTTTAAACTATTTTTGGATCTAATTTATCAGAATTAACACATAAACCACTTTTACCATCAAATGCCCATCCATGAAAAGGACATCTAATAATAGTTATAAATAATAATTACTCAATACAAGATCTAAATTTTACTTATCCTCCAATTCCTAAATTAGCACCCATATGTGGACAATAAGCAGCTACTGCATAAACATTTTTATCTGTTCCTCTATAATATGCAATATGTCTTCCACATAGTTTTATTTCTTTTACATCTCTATTTGATTTATTAACAATAATACCCTTATTTCAATTCTCCTGATCTACATAAACGATACCAACCATTTGGATAAGATGGTGGACATTTTCCTCTTGGTAATTTATTTCTTATATTATGTTGTTCTAATTTCTCTACTATTGTAAAGAATTTGAATTTCTTATAATACAAGTAATAAAGAATTAAAGCTATCAAAGTTAGTATGATTTCAATAGAAACTATTGCCATTTTCAATGAATTTTATCAAATAAATTTATATTTTATATCTTCTTTTTGTATACACAGTTATATTATTTTAATATTTAATCAGTTAACAATGGCAGAAGATGATCAAAATTAAGTTATTTAATTTGAAGATGAAGACTAAAACTAATAGGTTTGCAATATAATTATTTTATTTAGGATGTTGGTTAACAAAAATCCCCAAATTAGTAAAATGATGAATAAGTTGATTAATACAATTAAAACTATAATCAACAATAAGAACCTGATCCTAATGAACTTAAACCCCTTGAAACTGAAAAATAACCCATTTAACTTGCTTCTGAACCTGATGAAGGCTTTTTAAATAGAATTAAAGGATGTTCTTGTCGAAGATAGGCTGATGAAAAAACAGAAGACAATAAAGAAGGATGGCTTTCAAAGCTAGATAAATTTATTAAAAAATACTTCACTCCTACCTATTTGCTTTTAGTTTACTATTCTGTCTTTTCTACAGCATTATTATTTTCACTTAAGTTGATTATTTGGGATTCAGATTTTTATCATGCTGAAATTTTAGGGGTATTTTCAAATCAAATATATATCATTAGGGTTTATTTTTGTTTGCTCAATTATTAAAAGGTTTACTTATTTATTTTTTAAATGATGAATGGCTTGATGAATTACCTTATTTGGATAGTTCATTTGAAAATGGATGGAGATCTTTTAAAATAACATTCTTTATATTAACTAACTTAGATATATGCTATTGGATCTATTACATATATGTATAAAATAAAAAAGATGGGACTATTGAACATATGATGACATTGTGTAGAATGATTGATGCCTTCTTCTTTAATTTCCCGCTCATGTTAGTGTTTTTTTATCTTTAAATGCAAGATTTATAAAATCTACAAATAACCTATTTAGTTATTGCAAGTCTAAATTTACTCTCTATAGTTAATGGATTTATGCATTTAAATTTTTTTGCTGGAAGTTCCTTTTTGAGTATTAGATGGAGTTTTTAATTTATATGTGAATTATATCTTAAGCTCCTCTTAGTTGAGTCAGTCTTTTTTTAATTATAGGAATTTAATATTGAATATGAATACTTTGGGCTATTTTGCCTTTGTGGCCTCATCTAATTTTATTTATTCTCAGAAGATTAAGATTTTACTGGATAATTTTTATCAGTTATTTATTTTTAATTGAAAACATTTTTTGTTTTAATTTTCAAAGAAGAAAGCTTTGGAATGTCAGATTTAGACTGTGATGCATAACCTGGAATATTAAATGTTGTTGTTCACAAGTCCACGTATTATTTCAAGTTTTATTTAGTTACTCTTACATATAAAAAGCTTTTAATTTCTTTTCAATGATGTCTCTTGCATTTATATTCTGGCTTTTTGGCGGATGGGACTCTATAATATCAAACTAAATCCTATTTTATATGTATCTAGTAGGTTTTGGATGTTTTTGTATTATTATGCTGAATTTGTTTTACATCGTTCTAAGTGGATGGAAGAAAAACATGGTCAAGCCTTCTTGAAATATCAATTATAATGTTTTAAAAATATTTTTATTAATCATTCAATATTAAAATGTTTCATAATAAAAAATAATTATTTTGTCTTCTATTACTCAGATTATTATGTATATTTATAATAAATTCTATTCATTAAACTTTTTAGATGAAGCTAAAATTTATTCATTATCAAATCAATTATTATAAAAAAAAGGTTATCATAAATAATAAATAATTTATAACAACTTTACAATTTCAATAACTCTGTTTAATGTAAGTTTTAATATGTTATACTTATTCCTTTGTTTTATAAAAATTAAAAAAATATGATTGTTACACAAAAAATCCTTAGTTAAAAAAATATTATACCTTTACAATTTATTTCAGCGCAATAGATATTTATCCAATTATGTTTTATATTAATTAAAAATCATATTTTTTATTGAAATAAAAATTTCTTTTATTTATATTTTTTACCTTAAAAGATTGAAATGGCAAGATCCTCAAAGCAATCACTAACGAAAAATAAGTTAGAATTGGATTTCTAAGATATTTTTGATAATTTTATTGTTTTTTTTTCAATTACATCAATTGGATTAAAAGGATGTAACATCTGAATATTTGAGGATTTTTCCTCTTATATACTTTAAAGACAGGTCAAGCATCTTATTTTTGGACATTTATTCTTTTAGAGTTATTTTAATAAAACCTCAGCCTTGGCTTAGGTTAAAATTTTCTCAGTTTATATTATTTGAGATGAAGAATATTTAAGCTGTACAAAAAATCCAGCATTATTAGTTTATATAAAATAATGAATATGTAATATAAGAGATCAAAAGAGCTTAGTCTGAATCCCTAATCGACCTTTGATAGTGATTTTATTTTTTTATATTGAGTTTAATCCAACTCTTGTTTCTAATGGTTTAGAAATACCAATGACAAACTTATGTTGCCTTAAAATTGATAGAAATTAATCCTATTCTTGTATAATAGGTTATTCATTCAAATCTGTATCTATTGATTCCCATTCATTTAGCTTTAAGGACTTTTATTGATCCATTTAAGATATTTGAGTTTAGATTTTTTACATCGTTTCCATCTTGGCGATTGATTTATTTTTCGAAATTATAATAGTGTTAAATCAATTGAAGCAAAATATATTTAAATTATAATATCTTCAGTGAGGCTAATTAATTCATAATAATTTATAAATAAATTTGTATATCTAACCTAAAATTTCGGCATCTAAGCTGCTCGTTGCTTTTAATATTTCTTATCAATTAATAATTTAAAGACAATTTTAACAAAAAAGTGAAAGAAGGTATTCTAAAATTACAAAAAGAGTGATGTCTTTTTTCTTCACATGAAAGATAGAAAAAATGAATATAAATTAGTTTAAATTAAGATTATAGAATTAGAGGGCAGGTAAGATATTGTAAAATTAAAAAAACTGAATATTATAATTGTATTATTTAGAAACATTTTTTATTTTATTAATTTTACTCCATTAACAATGGGATCAAAAAATTCAAAAGAAACAAGTAACAAATTAATTATTAACTATAGATTAAAATGATGTAGGATAAATAAATTAAAAAAAAGAGAAGAAATAAGTTTAAGTAAAATCAGATGAGAAATCAAATGAAAGGAATTAGAATCAGATAGTGAAATCATAAATGAATTAAAAATAGTAAATGGTTCAAATTGCTAAATTATAAGAGTAACAAGTTCAATAACACTCATTAACATTTTGTAAAGGAGACTTTGAAAATTAAAATGTAGTTCAATAAGATCAGTCGACAGTTGTCAATAATAATGTTCAAAGCTAAGTAAAAGAACCAGGATTAGGTTCAAATTTAGATGTCAATGTTGAAATTCATGATGATCAATTGATGGATGTCAATGGATGCAGAAATAAATTGAGAAATAATAGAAATATGAAGATAGAAGAACATGATCCCATAATTGTGGCTATTTTAGATGATTTGGAATGTAGAACATCTAGTCATCATCCATTTAAGGATTAAGCAAAACCATATCTTGGTTCATAAATTATGATTTTAGATAGAGTGATAGCTGGATTTTGGTATAAATTGGGACCATATAAAGTAACTAATTGTAATTACAAACCATTTGAACTATAAGAGAATTAGATTTATTATGGAGAATGGTTTTAACAAAAAAGAAATGGTTTTGGATTTTTGATTTGTGACGATTTTATTTATGAAGGATATTGGTTTGATGATGTTTATCATGGTGAAGGAAGGATTATAAGTAAGGATGGAAATATATATATTGGTGAGTTTAAAAATGGATAATTTAGTGGTGATGGTTTTTTCTTAAACAATGAATAAATAGTCTATGAAGGGGAATGGGAGAATGGACAAAAAAACGGTATTGGAAAAGAATAGATGCCTGATGGATCAGTATTCATAGGTTAGTTTCAGAATAATTAACGTAACGGTTAAGGGAAACTATTCAATAATAAAGAATAATTTGTTTTTGAGGGATAATGGATAAATGGAAAGGCCATAGAAGAAGGAAAAGTAATTTGGTAGGATGGTAGAAAATTTGAAGGAAAGTGGTGTAATGGAATGATGCATGGACAAGGTGTATTTATATGGCCAGGAGGAAAGAAATATATAGGCAATTATGTGAATAATGTAAGAGATGGATATGGAGAATACTATTATCCTGATGGAAAGATTTATAAGGGAATGTGGAAGAAAGGATTGATGCATGGATAAGGAATAATAATATATCCAAATAATTCACATGAAAAAGGTTAGTGGAAATTAGGAAAGAGAATTATAATTTAAGAATAAAAGACGACTAAACAAAAATCTTAAAAAAAGCAGGAAAATAAGGCTATTTTGCCTCTTTGATAAAATTTTGATTTTACTTATTTAGAGTTATTGATAATAATAAATATATAAACCTAAAGTTGTCTTATTCAATTATAAATCATTCTTTAAGTGCACAAATAAGCGCTGTTCCTCTTAATGTCCAATATTCTGGAGGTTGATCTAAAGTGGGTAAATCCTATGAGAATATATAATAAAAGAATTACCACAGCTAATACATAGTTTGTACTTTGTCCTGTAGTGGATAAGACACCAGCTCTTGTTTATGTTTTGTAAACAGGACAACTAATGATATAATTAATGAATAATACCTATAATTATCAGATTTTGATTAATATTTATCCTATTGTATAGGTAAGAAATGAATAACTGGCATGAGCATATTCATTTAACCCTAAAATCAATAATAAAATAATACAAAATTGAGATCTGCCAGACATTTTTTTTTCCATTAAGCTCCTTCTAAAAATAGACCATAAATAAAAACACCATCTACTGGTCTAGTTGAACATTATTCTTTTTCAAATTCTTAGACCTTAAAGGAGAAAACAAGATTATCTATGGCAATGGCAGTCTTACGAGCATGAGTTTATAGAACTCCTGTTAAAAATCCTTAAGGATAAAAGAATCCAGAAATCCAGAAACAATTAGGTCCCCCTGTGATTAACCATTCTGACATAAATTTAACTCTTTCTTTTAAATCTCTAATCCATGATGCTAAACCTTTTAATGATAAATATCCAACTTTATTCCAAACTTTTGGAACTTCATTATTCATTAATGAATAATACATACTATCCAATTCTTAACTCATTACTACTATACCTTCAATTGCTTAAGCTAATCCTTATAATGTTCTTCCCATTGTTGACAACAAGATATTAAAACGTTCTAATTCTTATAAAAGAACAGTAGATAATGATGGAATGAGATTTTTCTCTGGATTTATAAGCCACAATTCTTTATTTGATTCGTCTTTAGTTAAAAGTGGAGGGAGATCATCTTAGATACTTTTCACTAATTCTAAAACTATTTAATCAGGTGTTTTTTCTGATGATCCTCCACCTTCTCTTGGTTATATAGATAAGATAGTTTCTAAAATGGAATCACTTTCTCTTTATTGGAAAGTGATATTTGCATTTTCATGCATTCCAAAAACAGCAGGGTCATCAGTCATTGGTAATGATTCAACATATTTAATATATTCTTCAACTACATTTTTTTCTGGTATTCTATAAATATTATTTTCACAAAAGACATAATTATCATCTAAAACTTCATTACATATGAATTTTTTGAGAATAGTCATTAAACATCTTCTATCCCAATCATCAGTAACTCTTCCTCCATAATTAATATTTCCACTAACATACAACATGGCATCCCATGGTACTGTATCATTTTCACCTAAAAGCATTTTAATAACTGTTTTTGAAGTATCAAGATCACTGTCATTAAATTCATATTTGATATTCCATCCCAAAGGACCAAATTTCTTTCGTTCTTAAATTATTGCATGGAAATAACACAATCCCATAACTAATTTATGATAGATTTCTGGTTTAGCTGCAGTATCTAGAAAATCATTAGAAATATCTTAAAGTGATCGTTTTAAATTTGCCTTCAAACCTCTAGGGGGTTCAGTTGTTAATTTGATACCATTTTATAGAATGCTTACTGGAAAATAGGATGCAGGCATAGATGTAAGGAATAATCTATAACTAGGATTCACTGTTGATTTCTTAGCTGTAATATCATCTACTAATTTTTCTAAATCAGGCATGAATGTTCTAGCAAGATGACAATTTTATAATAAAACCCAACCTCCTGTTCCAGTTGCATCATTAATCTATTTAGTTGCAATCTTTCCTTAACCCTAACCCAATGATATAATTGCTAAATTATCTTCAAAGCTTCTCTCCTTAGCAAACTTTAAGATCTAAGATGTAGGATCTGCTCCCTAGGATAATACAAAGATAATGGGAGTTGTAACATCAGAATCATTATACAAAGTTTCCATTGTTGTATTTGGAGATTCTAAATAAAATCTACCAACATTTTGTTCAACATAATTGGATAGTGCAAATAATATTTTTTCACTTCTAAAGATCTTAACAATCATCATCTTTTCGAATTCATCCAATTTACTTTAATAAGGTTCTTCTAATTTTACTACCAATGGATCAGATGCTTAGATAAATGTTTTCCATGCAGCCATATTTTTTTATATGTGTTAACATAATCCCTTAAAAACTTCAAAATTTAAATCCAAATATGCAGCTAATTCCCAAGAAGACTCTCCTATAAGTATTTTATCTGGATTAACTGGTAATTTAGATTTTTCAATGACTCCTGCTCCTCTTAAAAATGAACTCCAAAGTCCATCAGATATTTTACTTGCTTTTCTATTAATTTAAGCTGCTATCAAAAATGAATAAATTAATTTATGTTATTCGAATAATCCTCTGCATACATTTGTAAAAATCACTTTTGTAATACTGTCTATTAAATTTGCTAATCTTTATTATAACTCTTCCGCTGGTTATGCTTATCTCATAGCTAAATTAAACATTACTTAGACATATTGTAAGGAGTATTGATACATAGGATCAATAAGATTGAGATCTTTTATTACAAAATACAATACTGAACCTCTTACTGCTACTGATCTATATTCATTACGTACTCTCTCTATTGTTTTTTCTAATACAACAGATTCTTCAATCTTTAGATTACTTTCTTCACTTGTTGTTTTAGCAGATTATAATGATGTAATTAAATCTACATTATCTAAGATCTTTTCGGGATCTGCTTCTGCTAATTACTTTAAAATCATAGCTTCTGATTCACTCAACATCTTACGATATTATGCTAGTTTCATAACATTTTCATCTTTTTGAATTTCGATCTCTTCTTTTTCTAATCTAACCACATCTGCCAATAATTATTCTTCTAGACCTTCGAATGTCACTGTGAAATTAATTACTGTCACTTTAATAAATACTTCAGGTAAATATTTTGGATTTGGGATCTTTGTTGTTATAAACAATTTGAAATTTTTATCAAAATCAATCTCAGCTTCACCAAATTTAATCAAAATACGACCATCAGATTCTTTATATTATTTTTATAATATAGTTTCAATTGATGGATCCAAATTCTCTTCAATATCTTAAATCAAAATAGGATATCCATTAGTAATACATAATCTCATATCAGATTAAAATTTTGGATCTGAAAATTTAACAACTTTTAATTTAAGAGCAGAAAAAGAACTCTTAATCCAATTATTAGCTTATTATTGTGGATCAATCATTAAAGGCCATCTATATCCTTAAGTAGCAAGAATAGAATTCTCCTAAGAAACAGAATCACTTGGTAATTTATTAATTGTCCAATCTCTCAATTATAATGGATCACCAAGTGTACCAACTAATGTAAATTTCTCAGATACAGGAATTTATGCTTCTCTAACCTTTTCTGTCCAATGATTAATTAATTCATTTCTATATGGTCCTGTAAATGGTCCATTATATGAAATAGATGCTGCTGCCAAAAATACATCACCTATTAAATTGATTATAGCAATTCCTAATTCTTCAACTGTTCTTGCCCATCTTTCAGCCTCTGATGCTGTCAAACTAATTAATTTCTATGCTCTATCTAATCTAGCTTCAGTTAATTCTTTTAAGTTTTCAAGATCTTATTTCTTTTATGCCATTTCTGCTGTCTCCTACTATAATTTCTTGACTGCCTATTTGACTTTTAAAAGTTCCCCTTCCTTAACTGCTAATTCTTTATTTGCCTAATCTAATATTGCCATCATTTCTGCCACCTTCTTTTTCTTTGGTTCTACTTTCTTACTTACATTTGCATATGTATTCATAGCTATACACCATGATGCCATATCTGCAGCAGGTTTAGCTTTTGTTCTAATCAAATCAGGTACAAAGTCATCTCTTGAAATTATTTTTTTTAAATTATTAAGAATTTTCTCAGGAATATTATCTCTTGGATAATTTTTCAACTAACTTACAAATGATCCTACATCAATCATTGCCTTTTTAGCAGAATCCCAACTAGTATTTTAACCTAATAATGTTAAGACTGCCTCCAAAACCATTACCACTGCTTAAGGTGGATTATTATATGTTCTTACAATCTTTATTTCATTTTCATCCATCTATTCTACTGCTTTTAATGCCTTTTCTAATTCTGGCATTACTACATCCAAATCAGCTTAAGCATCATCTGCTATTATTTTTACATCCTAAGCTTTCTTATTCACTTCTTCTGTTTCAGCCTTTACTAATTATTCCTATTAACTTGCAAGGTAAGAATCTTAATTTACTTTTTCAAGAGCCTATTATACCTTTATTGATGATTCTTCCAATTAGGGTTTCAAATCAGTCAAAGTAACTTACAAACCTGCTACTTATTCATTAGCCATTTTCAATTTTACTAATCCTCCTGATAATCTCTTTTATTTTAATTATAATTCTTCTCTTTTTCTT